GAGGTCTCAAAAACTCATGTGTCACTTATATTACCCTTGGTGTTACAGGGTTAACTTAAAGGTATAATGGAGGATTTTTGCAAATGTTTGAAAAGGCCCAAGCATTACCCTGTACCCGTTCCCAAGAGCGAGCACTTATTACACACAAGAGCATGCATGTGTCCAATTTCTCCTCGTGCATGTGTTGTTTAAAAGTTGCTGTTTGCATCGCTCATACAAGCTTACTGTACTTTCCGAATGAAGATTTGCAATTTTTCCACTATGTCATACTTACCACCGGTAAGTGAAAATGGGGACAAGCACGTAGGACGGCCTGACATTTCACCAGAATGATTGACAATTAGGAGGACCACTTTTTTTGATGATCGGCCTGGAAAAAGAACATCCTCCACTATACCTTTAATCATAGAACAGACTGTATTCTTTGAAAATTATATGTTATTATTTCCCATCACAATGGCAATAAAGTTAAAAGTTTCTGAAGTGATGCGCAATTTACAGATCCTAATAATAAGAGAGATGAAACAACAATAGAAAAATAACAGTGAAGATAAGAAAGTAAAAAAATAGAAAGCGTATGTGTAAAATTCTGATTTCTGATCTGGCTCTGATCAAATTCCGAGCCAACAAACACCCACTGAATAAATGGATCCTATGATTTCACAATTATAAAGAACATTAGGTTGGAAAGAAAACCTAGATGTGAATAAAGATAGAGCCTGAAAGTGTTAATTTTCTCTCTATAAGCACTAATAAAACACCCTCATGCTCAAATCTCAAAACACTGAAGGCCTGAGATGGTTAAGAAGAATGGAGCACTTTTTATTTCCTTAACCTGTTTCTCTGCTGTTTTTAGAAACATGAAATCAGGCATTATATAGTTTAAGGAAAACACACATATAACCTCAGTAACATGTTTTCTGTCATCCAGGAGAAGCGGACAGGAAAAAACAAAACAAAAGAAGAGTGGAAGCAGGAAGCATCAGGACTCCACAGGGCTGGAGGTTGTGAGACAGAGCAGCAGGCAAGATCTTAAAAGGAAGGTGTGGCTGTTCTAATGTTTTGATTAACAGTCGCAAATTCCCTTTAAATCCAGTCTGCTGGGTGTTCTGTGCCTGTGCCTGGCTGAGGAGGAGCAGGAAGAGCGGAGGGTAGAGGGAGACACTAAAGAAAAAGAAAGGAGTGGCACACACATCTGCTATTTACAGCCCAAAGACAGAGAAAAAAGACTGATGACAGGTTCAGGAAAGCCCCTGGGGAATAGATTTATTTTTATTCCATATTCATAGTGACAGTGGCAACTTTCCAACACCTATAACATATTTTGTTTGGTAAGAAGGTAATAAACCAACTCTATTGCTTTTAAAACTTTTTGCACTGTTAAATAAAGCCACTGCTTTAGGGCTTTTTCTCTGCATATTGCAGAACAACTGTTTATGTGGCAGAGCCTCTGTCTTGTCTGGAATTATTTAAAAATAACACAAAACTAAGGAATGTTGGAATCCAAAGCTAATAATCAGTTTTAGCTTTTTCTATCCGTGAGTTACCCGTTTTTCTTTTTTCTTTTAAATGCCAGTTTGGTATTCTTGCTCTCTTAGTGAGTAAACATTTTCAAATAGTAATAAAATGTAAAGGTTTCCTTCATATTAAGACAAACACTGTGAGGAATGAATGTAAGCTGCAGTGTATTTTAAAGTAAATGTAAAAAAAATTAACGATAATCTTACATTCAGGTCCTTATTTTCTATCAACAGACAAACATTTTAGAACAAATTATGTTTAATTAGGGTTTTGTTATGACCTGTTGCCTGCATCAATGTAGACGTATTAACCTGTGGTGTTAACATTTAAATTTAAGGATTTTTATTTTTTTTTTTTTTTGGCCAAAAGACATATTCCATCCTAAGTACAGATAAGAATGATCAAATAAAACAAAAAAAAGGGGTTTGAAAAGGGTGCGAAGGAGGCCATTTACGTTAAGAGAGAAAAATCAATCAAAAACCGAGGGGAGGACTCAAGTTTAAGCTCTCAAAAACGTATTACTCTGCGATAGCATTTATTCCTTCCCACTATCACTTCACTCTTCATCGCCATGCAGGTAGTCAAAACATTGTGCCTGTTAAGCCAGACCAACAACGACCCTAATGACTCTCCTTACAAAGGGGTGGACCTGTCTATGGTTCTATTTGCATATTTTCAAAGCCATAATTGGGCTACTCTATAAAGCCTAGAGCTCAACGCTAATCTAGAAATTATGAATCGAGAGAGCTTTCTGGATGGGAAGTGAAACGTCTTCAAACTTGGAAAACAAAGTTCAATGGTTTGTTTTTAACTGTTTTTGGAAGGATCAAATAAAATGACCTTAAAAAGCGTATATACTTAGCTCTACATTAGCAGTATTTCACTTTTAAGCTGAAACAAATAGAACTACAAAAAAGAGAAAACAAAAAACAAGAAGAATAAAAAGTCAAAAATGTAAAACATATTAAGTGTTACATTAAGTGTTTTACAAGCTAGCCTTTTTCTTCTACTTCTGTTTTTTAAAAGATACTTTTTTAGGGTTTACACTACTGCTATCATTGCTATTCTATTTTGGTAGCACCCTAATTGAACTAACAAATGTGTACTCTTTCTTAAGAGAACATTGGAAAAGGAGAGTTTTCAATAACAATTTGATTTTTTACATAAAGGATGCACAATATATACTGTCTAAACAATATTAGTTGATTTCAAAGGACCTGGAAAATGTAGTAAAATATAGAATATTGAATTTCCATTTATTACATATATTATTTATTTTATATCTTATATAATATCTTATCTTATATACATTATTTATGACAGCCATCTTTTGCTTGGAAATAAGATGTTCAGCAGTTTTTGTTTCCCTCCAACTGATTAATCCATCTGAATGATTGTGCCCAAGATTTTAAAGCTCAGAGGTTTAAAAACCTTCATATCACAATCAGACATACATCGTCCAGCTGATATTTTTGGCCGATATTTTTCCTTGTATGGGTACCAGCCAATACATGCATGCATTAGTTTAGTTAGTGCATTCAGCAGCAAAGCCTTGAGATCACATGAAGCGCATGCATTGCTGCCCCCCTCATTACCCATCAATTGTTGCCTCCACCAAGTCTTTAGTCAAGATTCTGTATGTTTTTTTGTCCTTCTGTATACAGGATAACTTGAAAAGTTAAGAAGACATTTCAATAGCATTTTTACCAAAGGTGCACCTCAGTCGAGGAACAATCCCTTAAATTTTGGTGATGATCCAGATCATGATCATGATCATGATGATGCTTAAATTTTTAAAAGGATTCTTTGGTAGAACAAGCCCCTATAGACCAAAGGGTGGCAGCAGTGACTATTAGCAGCTTGGGACTCCAAGTCCAAAAGCATTACATTGCAGGTGAGCCATGCTTCGCTGGAAGTGTCGATCTACTGATCAAACAAGAAAGAAGAGTGCAGAGCGAATAAAGGTAAGAGCAGAACATTTAGATCCAAATCGTGTGAGCTTTTGCTATAAAAAAAGTCACAACGGGAAAAATTTGCTCTTTGGTGGAGGTCTGTCTTCTCCAAGTGCTTTTTGTAGTTAATATTTTGTTTGTTACTAAATCATTGTTTTCTGTTAACATTGGAATTTGTCTTATATTTGCTATCATTCTGTCACTGTTGTCATGTAATTGGATGATGAAACAGCAATATTGGCTGTAAAAATATTGGAAGTACATATCAGGGGATTGGTTAGACTGGTGTCAAAATAATCAGCATTGGCATCAACCTAAAAAAAAAAGTATCGGTTGATCTAATCTCAATCTAGTAAGGTAATATTATTCATATTATAAAGAGCCACAAAAGCTAAAGTAACTCTTTCTATAATAGACATGTCCAGTTATTTAGCATGAATTAAAAGTATTGGACTAATGACACATTTTTATAGAATAATTTACATCTTTCTCTCTCAACCTTTTTTGTAAATGATAATAGTTCATAAAAATATAGTATAAAGCTTTAGCTGTCAGTTTATCCTGTCATGTTTGATCAAATAAAATTTTTTTCCAGCAAATTATCCACATATACATTGTGTCTAGACTTAATAAAAAGTAGACGCTACATTGACGGCTGCAGCATATGAATAACAGCCACATTCTTGGAGCTAAAAACTAAACAAAACATTGTAGGATGCCTCAGCACTGTGCTGCATGTTTTTGATCAAGTTAATGGACTACTCATTGATAACTTTAAAAAAAAGAAAAAACACTTTTTTGATTTTTTTATTAAAATACTAATGCATTTATCTCCACTTAAAAAATGTCTTCTAATGACAGTAGTATTTATATATTATAAATGGTGAAGGTGTTTACCCAGCTATATATCTACTGTATGACTGGATGGATATAATTAATCACTACAACAGGTTTAGTTCTTTGTGCTTATGTATACAGCTTATACATGTATATGTAAATGTAATGTAATGTAAAATCCCTTTATTGTCCCACAATGGGGAAATTCACTCTCTGCATTTAACCCACCCCCTCGGGAAGTGTGCTGCCATTGTGTGGCGCCCAAGGAGCAATCAGGGGTTAAGGGTTTTGCTCAGGAACCCAGAGTGGAGGCTGTGGGGATCAAACCGGGTACTTGCAACCTTCTCAGAGCACAAGCACAATGCTCTAACCACTAGGCCACAACTTTCCCATAATGCAATGGTAATCACTTTTCTATCATTTTTAGTATAGATTTAGTATTCAGCGAGTTATAGTTGATTTACTGTGCTGCCAAATACAGTTAAACTAAGTGAAGCAAGCCACCCTTTTCAGGATTGCACCCCTATGGCTGGACAGCACCAATAGGTAATAGCAGCCCATGAGGCGTCTACTCTTTATATTTGCCCCATTTATTCAAGTGTTCTTTAAGAAAATATAAATGAATCCCCTTTATTTTGGTTTAGACTCATATGGTTAACAAAAGAACAAAGAATTGTCTTGACTTCTTACATTTACGATGGCTTCTTTGGTCTGGGCCATGTCTGAAATGACACCATCTGTGATGATTAGGAGGATAAAGTACTGAGAGCCGTCCTGCACCGCCGCTGCATATCTGCATACACAGATAAAGTCAAACATTAGAAGATCCTTTGTTTTTCCGGATCAGTCAGAACAAGCCTGAAATGAATATTTACTGACATATCTAAACAGCCATTCCAAAGTTTAAATTCACATAAAGACAAAGGTCAGCAGGAAATGTGATAAATATTTTACTTTAATAACTGCAATTTTTCAAATAAGATTGAAAAAAGAAGTTAAATACCAAATAAATTGAATTAGACCAACAATGAGGTTTAAAGCAAAGTATTAATACTCATATTTTATTATTAGGTTTATAAATCAAACTTGTATTGGTGCATATTTGTGCAAATCTTAAATACTGACATGCAGTGTTACAACAAAAGACTGCTGTAGTTTTAAAAGTTCTATTAATTTTTTAAAATTCAGGAATTGGAAGAAAAAAAACATATTATACAATTAACATTTTTTTAATTGTTACTTCCAGGGTCCCTAAGGGATCTCTACTTGGCCCACTTTTAAAAAAATAATTATCTCCTCCCTCTCTGCTTCATCCTTTACAACTTTAATATTAAGATTCATTGCTATGCGATGACATCTACCACATTACTCCATACTCACATCTATTCTTGCCTTTCTGCAATTACCTTCTGGTTCCCTGCAAACTTTCTTGAATTAAATTCTCATGATTGGTACAATTTCAACTCTCTCTACATCCAATCTCTTTTCTTGAACTATTGACAGTTCCTCAATCTCCCTTTCTCTCCGGGTAAAATGTCTCAGTGGCATCTTTAAGAGCCCCGTTCCTTTAAGTCCCACATAAACAACATTATTCACCCTCTCTACAGTATTTCCACCTTCACTCTACAAACCGCCTTGTCCTTCCTTTTTGTTTCCAGCACCGCTGTCCTAGTTATGTCCCATCTTGACTATTATGACTCCCTCCAACAAAAAACATCAGTAAACTTCAGTTGGTTCAGAATCATGTTGCCATTATCATCACCTGCACCTTCCCCTTTAAGCATTTTATAACTATTCTAAAACAGCTATGATGACTTCCCATCCAATAAAGGATCTAATATAAGTTATCATCCTTACTTTCAAGGCCTTTCCATAACTATGCCCTGCCTTATTTATTTTTCATATTCACATCCCCACTCCCTCTGTCTGGTCATCCACTTCAATTTGTAGGTCAAGACCATGTGTGGCAGAGCTTTTTCCTGTTCTGCAACCTCAGCTGTGGAATCAAGCGCCTCCTGAAAACCGCATGATCACTCTCCCCGTTTAAAAGCCACCTCAAACCTATATTTTGAAAACTGCCTGGTCTCTATAAATGTTTTATTTTATATTTGTTTTAGATTATTGATGCTTTGTTGTTTTAATGGTATTTGTTTAGTTGTCATATTTACACAATGATAAAGTATACATTATATACAGTAATAATACGACAGAGTATTAGGGACAGGCTAGAGCTTTTTTTTCTTCTATTTGGAGAATAAAGTTGTAACATTACGAGAAAAAAGTCATAAAATTATGAGAATAAAGTTGTAAAATTACAGGAATAAAGTTCTAACATTACGAGAATAAAGTCGTAAAATTATGAGAATAAAGTCATAATATTACAAGAAAAAGTCAGGAGAATAGTCATAAAATTACGAGAATAAAGTTGTAATATTAAGAGATTAATTCCTAAAATTATGAGAAACAAGTTCAAGAACAAGAAGCACTTTCTTCCCTATAGTGATAAATGTCAATCATCATGTGAAGTTACACTTCAGCTCTGGTTCGACCAATAAGGAAATCTTTTAGCACCAGCTTGAAATTGGGCAGGATTTCAAAATGGACTCAGGTTGCTGATTGGTGGAGCTGGTCGGCCGTCATCTGCTGGTTGGAGCTCGAAGCTTTCTGTCTGAAACAGGTTATTCTCTTAATATTACAGCTTTTTTCTCTTAATGTTACAACTTTTTTCCCAAAATAAAAAAAAAACCTGGCCCTAATATTCCATCATATAATAATAATAATAATAATAATAATAATAATAATAATAATAAAATACATTACATATTCTTGGTATTCTAAAGCAGATGAGAAGAAACAGTGAACAAGTCTGCCGTGTTTTCAAATTGCATCTACAATTTTAAAATCAACTATTATTTTGGGCTTTCTCAATCAAAGACATGGCCCATTTCTGAAAACAGATGTCTGCATCAGACAAGAGCTCCAAATTAAAGACAAGCTGCCAGAACATCCAGGGCGCATACTCCTGCTGTGGGAGGACACTGCCAGTGATGGGCTGATGCTACTAGATAGATGTGTTGGATGATTAACAGTGTTTTGATGGGGTGAATGTCATGGCCATAGACTTTGAAGCAGAACATTTCATTGAGATGATGACAACATAATTTTTACAGAGTAGAGAAAGTCGTAAATCTTAAACAGAGCATAATAACTCAGGTAGAGCCTTTGACACAGTCGCATTGGAAATATCTGTCAAACTAGATTAATTTCCCATAAAATCCTCTCTGTCATCACAATTTCCACAAATATTTGTGCTTGGAAAGACTTGTTTTGTTATCTCTAAAGTTACTTACTATATATATATAGTATGTGTGTAGTTTAACAGAGAGTAATACAAACGGACTAAAGCAGACTACATTTTGAGACGTCATCATTCAAGATTGTAGTGATTTTAACTCATTAAGCAGGGCAGTAAGATTCCTGAGAGTTTTCTGGCAGCTGCTGGCTGCTCCGTAAACGTTCATTGTAAACGTACCATGTTAAAATGAGTCAGCAATCTGTATTAAGTTTACATTTAATGTTATACACTGAACTTGGTGTCCAAAATCTTAGAAAATAGTCTGTGAATGGAACATGTTCTTTCCTACTAAAGTCGGATGTCCATAAAAATAATGGTTCATTTTGTCTCAGGAGTTTGAATCCATATTTTTGGACATCGAACCTGAGGTAAGGACATTGTAGAAGGATTTCCTGCTTTTTCTGATGCTGAATTTAAGAAGCAACACAGCAGAAGAGGATTATTTTCTCCCTTTTTTCTATTCTTTTAAAACTGAACGAATGTGTTTGTAAATAGAGGCTTTAAAGCAGGTGGGTGACAAAAGCTGATCTACTAACCAGGTGCAAATCAGATTGTGTCACTTTGATGAGCAGTATTAGAATATAATTCAGTTCGATAAAAAATAAAAATTCTGATGCCATTAGGAAATACAAATTTGTAATTCATTGATTTTTGGTTGTAGGCAGGAAGGGTCTACTGACTGTCTTGTCTGAAGACACTGTTGATATTCATCAGTCTTCCGAAGAGGAATATCAGGGTTTTTCTATACTATTCTTCACTTCATTTTTAGTTGTTAAATCATCGTCAGAGGTTCATGAGGTGTTCCCAGAACAGCATTTATCTTCCTTACCTGCTTGTTTAGCTTTAATAAGTCCTTTGCTCCTCCTGCATCCGTATCAATGCTGCTAGCCCAAAAGATGTTGGCAGAGGAGAGCATACTGAACAGATATGCAGCATCTTTCTGCAGACACTGAAGGATGTAAGCTTCCTCAAGAAGAATATTCTTCTATATCCCTTCTTGTAAACAACTTCATAGGTGAAAAGAATATGCAACCCATGTAGAATATTTACTTTCAACAAACTAAATATTTGCTGATCATCAGATCTGAGGAGCGTATTCAAAAATTAATAAATCACCAATCACAATTTCATTTATCAAAACTAAATGGGTGTGGTTTCTTTTTATTTAGCATACAATACTGCCTGTGGTATTAATAGCAAGAAGACGCGTATACTGTAATGGCAGCAACTGATAAAGAAAATCTGCTGTGTATATGTCCAAGTATTTAAAGTGTAAAAACAGCAGAGACATCCCCTCCATCAAACATACTATTTTTGAGCTGTTTGATAAACTAAGAGCCAGTCACAAATGAAAGCCATGCCATTACCCCTATGAAAATACTCTTTCCAGGAATCAAATTTCTTGTGTCTGCATGGATCATTAAAGCAAACCATTGCAGTTAAAGGCATCTCCCAGAGTGGTTTGTCTGGTATGCTTCCCAGAGTAATTCCATTTAATTTCATATCACTAGTGAGTGTTCTGCTGTAGAGATGTTGTGTCTCTCTGCACTTGTTGGTCTCTACTTTTAAAGACCATCACCTGATCGAACAGCCTGTCATTAGTCTGTCTATTTTACTGAAAGAAATTAATGCAATAAAAGATGGCATTCTTGACCATAACTTCTTTGTGTCCACAAAGGAATAGGAATTAATTTGTGCTATTCAGTATTAACACAAGTTTTTAAATATATGACGGTTGTTCACGCATCTGTTGTGTTAAAAAAGCAGTCTTTTACCCATCCTTGTTATTGGACTAGAAAGAATGATAATTGGTAAGAGAAAATGTAAGTAGGTTTGTTCTGTTTCAATATTATGTAGATTTTGAACATTTTCTTGAACAATCCGCTCACAAACCAATGTTTTGCTCTACCTTTGTTTTCATAAATCAAAAACACTTTAATAAAAAAAAAAATACAAACTGCATAAAAGCTACTGCATCATGTTTGTGCCTGAAAGTTATTGGCAACAGCTCCTGATAATTTCTCTCATTTCACACAAACAGAGATTGTTTTTGCCCGCAACTTCTCCAAACAGCAATCATACCTACCATCTGTACTCAGTATTATCTAAACTTGCAGCTGCCTTTAGGATGTGTAAAATATGCAGATCAATATAGCTTATTTTATTAGTGATCTTTGACAATGTAGACCGTAGTACAAAACTAGCCCTCATAAATTGTTTAAGCTTTTTATTTTCAGAGTTTTATCCATCTGGCAGCTGTATTAGATATTAAAGACAGGATTTGAGATGCCATATTTTTTACGTTGAAATTTAGACTTAGTGACTTAACTAGGAATCTATAAAAATTAATCAGTATAAAACAGCATGCATCATGTCAATTAAGATTCTTGGTTTATTTTTAATTTCCTTATTCAGTGCACTGCAAAATAAAGAGAGCTGTTCTAAATGAAGCGTATTTTTGCGTATACAAAATAATTCTGTCTAAGTCTAGCGACAGCTGATTAAAAATATCAGCTCTGCAACTACAGCTTTCTTCAGAATCAATATCAAACACACTTCAATAGAAACCTTTTCAGGAAAACTTAGTGAAAGTCGGTTTGCTTCAGATTTAAACATCTTTTGTGGCTACAAAAAGCATCTGTCCTCAAACAGGTTCTACTTCATCTTATTAAACATTCAGCTGAAGTGCTGGCTGCTGGTCCAGCAATGAAGGTCTATACATATTTTAGCAGTGATCAACAAGAGTGTGGAGTCAGTTCACTCCTTAAGGCAGTGAGACTGAAATATTATATTTAACAAACAGTCTCAATTTATATAAAAAATGCTTGATGGATCCCAAAGGGAAATTTTATTTTGTCTTAACTCATAGAGGCTTTTGGTGCATATTTTAATACCAGTAAGTGGGGAAGATCTTCTGTCCACTAGTGAAAAACCTGTTTCATTTATTAAATGTTTTAAAAATATTACATTCTTGATTTTTTTTTTTTTTACTCCAGTTTCTCCTTTTTACATTTTAAAGCAAAACTAAATGCATGTTTATTAAAACAGCAGTGGAAAAATTAAAATTTTTTTTTTCTACACTTAAAGGGATAGTTCGGTATTTTTGACATGAATCTGTATGGCATCCCGATCACCAGCGGCATGCAATCACACTGACTTACCCCTGGCAGCGTCCTGTGAGCAGAGTTATCGTCCAGTTTTGGTCAAGCCGAAAGTAGTCCTGCAGGTTTTTAGGAACAGCGAAATAAAACTTTTCTCTTCCCAAAACATTATGTGTCCAAAAGAGTGATATTTTCGCATCCCAAAAACATTGTAGTGGAAAAAGTCACACGTCGTTATCAATTGGTCCTATTTTCTCTCTGTTCGTATCAGTGCGCGCCGTCATTCAGACAGCGAGCCCAACAACAGCCATGTCTCCCTCCGCCGCGGAAGGAGACATGGCTGTTGTTGGGCTCGCTGTCTGAATGACGGCGCGCACTGATACGAACAGAGAGAAAATAGGACCAATTGATAACGACGTGTGACTTTTTCCACTACAATGTTTTTGGGATGCGAAAATATCACTCTTTTGGACACATAATGTTTTGGGAAGAGAAACGTTTTATTTCGCTGTACCTAAAAACCTGCAGGACTACTTTCGGCTTGACCAAAACTGGACGATAACTCTGCTCACAGGACGCTGCCAGGGGTAAGTCAGTGTGATTGCATGCCGCTGGTGATCGGGATGCCATACAGATTCATGTCAAAAATACCGAACTATCCCTTTAAGATTTTTTTCTGGACTTTCTTTTTTTTAGAAACTTATTGTGGAAGGAAAAAGTAGACAAAAAAAATGATCAAGCAACAAAACCAATTGAAATAGTTAATAGATAATCTATGGAGTGTCAAGAGGATTAGCAAAGCACAGTCAAAACAATCAATGCTTCTTTAAAGTGGAACCGCAGACAGTCTCCTCCATGCCACACTTTAAAAGAGACAGTAATTATTCCTGTTTTGAGAATTATACTTTTGACATTCAAATATTTCTGAATTAAAATCCTTTTTTTATTGGTCTGACGAGATATTCTAAAACAGAATTCTTAGCTGCCAGCTTTGTGTTGTTTCCTTGTGTCTTTTCGGCTGCTCTTATATTCAGGGGCCGAAACAGAAAGTATTTAATAAATGGGATTAAATTAACTTTTTAATGATTTTTCAATTTATTGAGATGCACCAGGAAATTTGTTAAGGAAATCATCAAAGTTGTATTTGTAGGGATTGACTGAACCTTTTAGCTCATTATTAATAACTTAGAAATATACGTGAAGCTTTTTGTTTTCTTTAAAGCAATTATTTCAATTATTTTCAGTTAAGGATATCTAAGATATTTATTTTTTGCAAGAAATGGTATACAGAGTCAGACGTTCCAGTCACACTGATAATGATATGCGGCAATGATTTAATATTCTGCTTTTGGATTGTATGACAACTACTCCACTCACTTATCCACAGAAATTCATGTGTTCATTCACAAAACATTCAAAAGTAACAATGAAATACTGGAGAGAACATTAGAAGTCTTTAAGCACCTGGCAACATGGTTCACCACAGGAGCAAAGTTTGTTGGACCGTATAATTGCACTGTCTTCAGACTTTGATGGTACGCCTCTAGGATCCCTTCAATACCATTGCAATAAGGATTTTCCATGTTTCCATTCTGAAAATGATATAAAGAAACTTTTATTATAATAGATATGATTCCAAAGGGGGGAAAAAAACAAACATCTGAGTAAACTGTTTCAGATTTAATTCCTTATCCTGGTTTCGTTATCTAAGATCTTGGAGTGAACAAAAAAAGTGAAATTCAAATTTACAGTGGAACAGAATAACAGTCTTAGCTGTCAAGTTAAATCTATAAAATACATTTGATAGCATGCAAAATGTACTGAAGTAAGTTATTAAATGTTGAGGGAGATTCACCAGTGGGAACTCGTGAGACACTCTCCCATCAGGAGGCAGTTTTGCTCCAAAGCCTAGAGCTGGAAACATCTTGTCGCTGTCGTAGTCCTGAATTATTTCACCCACAGCTTTCAGGGCCATGGCGTAGGCGTTGAGTTGGTAGGGGTTCATGTAGTGTAGAGATGTAGACTGGGAGGGATTACCTGCGGATAAATGAGTCAGAATCTGCTTTAATGGCCAAGTTTGTGCACACAAGCAAGGCTTATGACTTTGGTTCTACTTTGCAACAAATGAAGAATGTAATTTTAGTTTCTTCCATTCAGTACAAAACAATAAACATTAACAGAATCAATTATCAAACTAAAATTGGTGTTTTTGTATCTGTCAATATCTATGCTTTTTTTTTTTTTTTTCCAGCACTACTGGCTTATTTTTCCGAAAGTAGGCTGACAAGAGAGCGGATATGAGAGAGGGAAAGAGACATGCGGCAAAAGACCACAGGTTGGATTCGAACACGGGTCGTGCACGCTAACCACTGCGACACCTGCACACCCCATTAATATGTATGCTTTAAATTAGGCAACTTAGAGTCATGTACTGTAAGCATCAGGAGACACAATGGGAAGCTTTATCTTTAATTGACAAATCTGTACCAAATCTTACTGTCTATCATATGTTTTCACCTTAAAAAATAAAGACTACTTATGAAGACTCTTAATCATTGAATTTTTTTATTGATGTATTTTCCATGTTTCTACTTCAGTTGCTCCCTTAAAAAAACTCTTCAATCTGACCTGAGGTCATAAAGTAAGAAATCAGTTAAACATTTCTGTGCATGAAAACAATATCTATCCGGATTAGAACTGAACCTTTATTTAGAAATCTCTCATTGGTTGAAACTGGATCTGGTGCAGTCGTTCTTTGCAGTTATTCAAGAAGCAAATCATAATACAAAAAAGGCCTTTGTGACTGATCTGCAGTTCCTGCTGTCTGCCTTTTTTCCTGTATATTCCAATGGCCCTTTTTTCTCTACGTCTCCAGATAGCCTGTAACCTTACAGAAAGATTACTGTACAACTTCCCAGATAAGATGTCTTAAAACCTCTAGATTTGTCATACATGTGTGATCCATACTTGTGTGCAACATCTACTTTACTCACTTTGTGTAAATTTACTTCAAAACAGTAGATAAAACCAAGCCTAACTTGCATTTTCATTTTTACAACATTTAAGTTGTAAAAAGTTATGTTGAATAGAAAGTTAGCCGCTAACACTCATGGTATCTGTGGCATTGTGATCAAAATCAAATGTTTTTTTTGAAAAGTCGGTAAGTACATTTAATGAAATGGATTTCCTTAGATAGATACCATTTAACCAGTTCTTCTACTGTATGCCTTGATTGAATCAACTCAGTCAAGTGCCTTGAGATAAAGTACTGCGAACTGCTGCAAATAAATAAGTTAATTTTGAATTTGTTGGGCTAAAGGGGCAGTAAAAAAAAACAAAAAACACCATGGATTGAGAGCAGCCAGATAAGTTAGCCTAAAGAAAACATCTCAATAATGTCACAACTCCTCAAGCATGTAGTTATGTTGCACAACTGTGTTCAATGACATTATGATTTACTCTTTTATGAACTAAACTAAGCTCTTTTTGTTTAGGATCAGGGTTTAACGGGCCATTGGGAAAACAGGGCGCTGATGCCCATTTCTAGGCCAGCCCTAGGCTTTCATAATACAATCAAAATATTTATCTGTAATTATCTAAAATATATCTGCGATGGACTTGCAACCTCTCCATGGTGCACCCAGCCTTTCGCCCATAGACTGCTGGAGATAGGGACCATCCCCACTGCAGTCCTGATGGATTAAGCATGAAAAGCTGATCAATGTTATCCAAGATATTGATTCATATTAGATAATTAATAAATTTAACAACCTAATTAAAGCATTAAAGAATATATCCGCTGAAAACAGTGATGAAAAAAAGTATTTCTTCTTCACGAATAGGTAATTTTTTTTATATTTGCTATTTTGGATTTAAAACATAACAGATTCTGCCCATTATTTTGTGTTTGTTTAATTGAACAAATCAGATGATATTATCAGTTATTTAATATTTAGTTAACCTCTTATTTAGTTATATATCGCATACATACAGATTAAACTTTTCGAGGAAAAATTCAACTGTGATGAGTCGGAAATAGCAACATCCTATCACTCTCCTCCAGAGTGAACTATTGAACTACTCTATGTAGCAGGAGCAGGTCCCCAGAGAACCTACTGAACAGTGACTGTGTACAGTATGCATTAAAGCGCTGTCTGTTGCTGTTTAGGATATTGATTTTAAAACAAAACAATGGCACAGACAGACATCCGCCTCGATTTTTCCCTGGCCTCCAACCCTAAGACAAACTTTAAAGTTGTTATAACTCACCATTAGATGCTGTGAAATCTATTGCCACAGTGAAATTGATCTGTGTCCTGGAAGAGACAAAATAAAATAAAAATCAACAAAAGAGAGAAGACAACCAGTTTAATAATTAATGTGCTTTCACTTGCATGATTTGTGACACAATAGAAAAGAGAGCAACGTACAAATCATAAAATACAGCTACATTTTCATTCTATAGGAGTTTATTTTTTCATTGTCTTACACATATAGTAACACCATAAGAGCACAAAGAGCAGCCCTTTTAAATTTAGGGCATGATGTTCAACATATCCGCCTTCACCTTCTCAACGAGAGGCGGGAGACCAAGCTTGGTAACAAGCTATTACACCGATGGAGCACTTAAGAGCAAATCATAATCCAATTTTCCCTGCTGACGAAGCTTTCCCCTCTACATCTTGCTAATTTATGACAAAATGAGGCCTTAAGGGGCTTAAATGACAGCTACTCGTTATCTAGAAAAGTCACCAGAGAGAACAGGAAAAGAATGATGGTAGAATGAATGTGTTAAATATTCCCATTAACCTTTCAGCTTGGCGTGATCACTGAAATATTCCACAGGCCAACTGTGCAAATGTAATTAAAGTTAATTTTATTAATTAATTCAATTTTTTCTGAAAGGGGTAGCAAGTGGTTCATCTGTAAAAAGAATTACAAGTCCTCCGTCTAATTCCTTGTTTCTTTCTTTTTCCCGCTTTTTGAGCTTAAAATACATTTTTAGAGTTAAAGGGAAATTACTTTACACTTCCTAATGTGAACATTTTTGTTTATTTTTTTCTCCATTTCTGACTTTTAGGGCTCTTCGATAGAATGTTGTCATGATTTCTTTTAAAGAAAAAAAGGGCTACTTAAGTGTAGCTCCCTGCTGGTTATAAATAATGTAATCCAAATGATTTAGCTGACAAGTGGACTCTGAATGATAATCAATACAGGGAGATGTCTCCTCATTACATTCCAAGCATCATTCCCTCTTCTGCTAAGGGTAAGACAGAAAAATCAACAGCTGCTTGACACTTCTCCTCTCCTCAGATGAAGCAGACGTTTTGAATTATTTGAGTACCAAGAGTATTCTGGCCCTTTAATATTTATTATCATAAAAAGTAAAACATTAACTCTATTTATCATCAGAAAAAAGGCAGTGAAGATTTATTGATTTGTGCCTTCCCAATATTTTTTTTTTCATTTGGATTAATTGCTTAAACTAAATCTATTGCAACAACTATCTCACATTCATGCATGTAACAGAGTAAAGTTAGCAGGGCAGACTGATGACACAGTTTTCTGAAGTAAGGTCACTAAACCTTAATAATATTGTATCATAAATCAGACGAAGTCGAGAGCCGTCAGCAAAATCTGTCACATTTGTCACTTCTGCCACAGGACGTCGAAACCTCTGACAGCTTCCCCGCCGCGAAGAGGCGGCTGAGATCAAAGCAGGAGCCAGTCTGCCTGGGAAGTAGCACTTCACCTGAGAAATACTTAATATGTATGCCTCAGCCTCTAAAACTAGGCTTAGGTTCAACAGCCGGTGGCTCTTAAGAAGTGAGTTAAGCTTTATCTCTTTAAACTAGAGGTGGAACTTTAATACCAGAGAAAAATCCTGTTTTAAACCAGCAACCAAACTGAAAACAGCAAAAAAAAAAAAAAAAGATAGATCAAAAATCTTAGTATTTCAATATTTTCACTGAATGTTTACACATGGATTACATTTTCCTTCAATTTTTAATTAATAGTAGTGGTTGTTAGTATATAATCCTTATATTAAGATCTGATGAATATTAAGATCTGATGAATCTAATGTGTTACGGCTTCTGTCAGTTTTTTTACATCGTTGATTGATTTTTAGGTCAGAGTTTACTGTAAATGGCTGATTGGAAACCCAAACACATTTTCTACTCTGAATGTATTATTTTGAAATAAAAAATGTACTTATGTCTTTATCAGCCAACAATTAATACAAGTCAGAGGGCTCAGTTATTTCAACCTGGAGCGACTCACACAGAGACAAGTTGCAATTTGAAAATATAAAATCTATTTAGACAGGTAACGCAATCATAATCTTCAAGAAAACAGCTGATTGCGAGGACTCAACGACTCTCTGCCATCCCTTGCATTGAGTATCCATGCAGCGACAGTGGAGCGGAAAACTCCCTTTGAAAAGTAAGAAACCCCCAGCAGAACCAGGCTTAGTGTGAGCGGCCATCTGCCGAGGCAGACTGGGGTTCATTAGATAGAAGCAGATAAAGACATAAATGAAATTAGGTCTTTGGTGCTTGGGCCTCGGCGAAAGATTCTGATGCTGTGAATCAGCATACACCTGGATTAATAAAGGGATTAGAGTAGTTTTCCCCCAGATCCCGGACACTGGTGGTGGAATAAACCAGAGGATGAGTGGGACTGAGAATGAGGGAGGAGATTGGGTGGAGGTAGGTGAAAGTTTGCTGGCATGTGGGAGAGAGAAGCTGGGCCAGGGGTTTTAGCAAAATAATTGGATTTGGAGAAGGTGCGGCCCCCTGAGCTGATTGTCTGGACCTGAACACGGGACATCGCATGTGCTTGATAAGAACTGATAAGAATCTTCCAGATTAAATTTATGCTTAACTTAATTTCTGAAACACTTCTGAAGCACTTTACAAAATTTCATACTGGTACTACATAGTTGCACTCTACATATCCTTTGTAGGAAAGTAGAACTTTTTTAGCATGCTCAAAAAATATGTGGTTGCCCCACCAAGCTGAAAATGAAATCTCTCATGGTCAATTATATACAGTGAAAAGTGATACTGGTGTATTTTCCATTTATGCAGCACACTATCACATTCTTAATAAAGCACTAGGCAGGCGCTATGGCTGCATGACATGCTATAATAACTTATTTTAAAAGAACACTAATTTCTAGCATTCCTTCTACACTCTTGTATATGTATCCATTCACCTTTAAATATTCATTGGTTTCAGCATCTCTTATGATGTGATTTTGTTTCACTAATATGGCTTTAGATTAAATGTCAAGGCAGGAGCCATTTGAATGTCAGATTTTTTACATCAGACTCCCACACTTGCAATGTATGCTAACTTATCATCCATTTCATTCCTGATAAACAGTTTTTATACAAAATAAATAGTCAATACAGTTTGTAGTTCCACAAATACAGTACTTTAAGCACGTTTACAGGCTGACAAAAAAGCCTTTCACATCTTGTAAAGCTTTTTTAAAATGACCTTTTAATAAGGTATATTTTTATAAATAAGATTGTTAATGTTTAAGATTTTTAGCACATAAAAGTTTTATTCCTCATCTGCTAGATAGAAATGAAAAATTGTACGTAAAGCAGTATAATGCCCTGTCTTTACTAGAATACAGTTTAGGTAAAGACTCTCTTGATCTTCACTGATGCTATATAAAGAAAAATATGTCCATTATGTGTTTTTCTTTTTTCCAAATGTTCAAATAGTCCATTCCACTCACCCTCCCTTGATGTAATCTAGGAAGGTGAACTCTGACTCAACAGAGAATGAGAGAAGAGTCACCTGTGAGAAAAAAAAAGAGAAAGAATTGATTAAACCCACTGCCGTTGGTGTTTTCTTCCTAATACATCATCTGCCTTCACATATTGACTCAAATCAGGCCTTTGGATCAGGATGAAAGCAAACCGCCTTTTTAAATAATTGAATTATTTGCAATGCCAAAGGACAAGTTTGAAGAGCAGATTGGTTGGATTTCTACGTATTACTCACTGCAGCACTTTTGGGTAAACTGTGTGAAACATGGTGCCTCTAATGGTCGTTCATGCCAGTCATCTTTCTGATGTTTTTCAAGGTCTTCGGTTTTTTCCTCCGTTTTTTTTTTTTTTTTCAACAGCCAGTCAGATATAATTCACCCTCATTATTCTTTCATCTCCTCTCGTAATCCGTTTGCTGTCATGTTTCCGATGCCGTTATAAATCTGAGCAGATCAGTCAGTCATTCGTGTTTTTTAACAATACGAAAAAAAAATGTATTTCCTTTAAGAAGTACCAGTTGAATGATAATTTAAAAAGGGAACCATTGAATTTGCACAACAACATGAAAGAGAGGTAAACTTTCATATCTGGTATAGTGTCATACTCACTGTTCCTGAGTTAACATACTTCTTTTTCTTCATTTTCTTCTTCGTATTGATCACCTGAAAATAATAAATTGCATTAGATACAAGCAATATTCTTAAAGAGCTTCTAAACGCTTGATTACCAATTATTTATTAAGAACTTACTGACCTAAAAGTACATAAAGTTTGAATGAATTAATTACTTTTATTTGCAGACAATTAAGCTACATTACAAATAAAACTCATAATATGCAAGTAATGATTCATTTAACTGTGTTATACATATAATTTAGTGCTTATTATATATTATTAGAAAATGGTACAGAGACGTGAAACTTATCTTAATCAAACCCTCTACTAAGTACTACTGAGTGCATAACTTCAATAATCTTCACTAATCCTAGTTAACTACTGAATCCATACCACTCAGAATTCCTTTAAGTTGGAAAATAAATTAGTGTATGTAGATATGAACATTTTGTACATATTTACACCCATACAGTTATTACCCATTGCCCACACAACCACAACCACTGCAAAAATACATTTACACCTATGTATAGTGATTAAGATTTCAAGGCCCTTCTTCCATCTCATACTGTATGTTTTCAAGAAAACCAACTTATCATATACTTCCGCACTGCTTCAATTCAACACTGAATTAAAGCAATGTGGAGGAGAAACAAAATTATATGCTATCTGTTTTTTTTTTGATACCTTAAACTATGGCTGAAGCAGGGCTTTGGTGCTTTATGGTTTAGAGAAGCTTTAGCTTTAATAAGAACAATGTTTATAGTTTAGTCTGGACATGTTCTATATGAGGTTTCCAGCAGATCTTGTAGTCAATGAACACACCTAAGAATTGGATTTAATTTACTTGTCCCACCCCTAATCTATTATGATTTTCACATCTATCTTTTTTTCTGTATGCGTTTCAAATAACAGGAACTTACTTATCTCTGTTGTTGTTTTTTAGCTTATTCGCTTCTGGGTTTATATCATCCTAGAGTCGCAGTGAGCTGTCAATGTACAGAAAATATTCCTGCCGCCTGCAGAAAAAAGAAGCAGTAATGGTTTTATCTTTTTGTTTTATGGGCTTAAAATTAAACAGGTTGTTTGTGTTTTCTCTTTGGATGTAAATAATCAATAATAAGGGTTTAATAAGACATGTTTTTGGACATTTTTGGGGGGTTTGAGGGGTTTCTAACAAGCACAAAAACGACATGAATTGGGTGTAGCTGGAAACCTGCAGATAAGAAGTGATGTAGAAGATGGTGTTACACCATATAATGTTTGAGTGTTGCAAAAAGCAACATAGCATTAAGAAGGCACATCAAGGACAAAGGCAAACCAGAGGTAGAGGGCTCACTCTCCTATTATCAAAGCCTAATGTTTGGTAAAAGGATTTTTTCATGTCCTTTTTGTTAGCTATATCTTTATAACAGAGAAACAGAGGTAAGGTTTATGTTGACATCGACCAAAAGTAATAAGTTGTGCAACTGCAGGTTTGTAGAATTTAATTACTCCCTTGAAAAACCTTTAAATGTTCATGTTACAAGTACAAAGAAAATAATCACCTAAAGTTAATTAGCAGCTGCCTGAAGCAGCCCATAAACTGCCAGTTAAACATTCAGACTTGGCCAAAGGTTAAACAAACATCCTAGAAGTCTTTTGGGCAGCAGAGATGATATCAATGGTGTTTTAAGCTTGTGTTGGTAAACACAGACTGTTTCCAATATTAATGAGCACAAAGGTTTCGACCTTCTCATTACTATCGAAGCAGATCAGATGGTGTTTGTTGTTTAGTCTCTAATGCTCTGTTGCAAAGTCAAAAAAACAGCCATACTGAATAACTCTTTCAAGAATAAAAAGGAACAGAAACATGCATTTGCTGCACATTTAAAGTCCAAAACCTCTGAAATAGCCATGTGCACCATATTTAATTTTGGCCATAAAACAAGATGAAAAGTCTGAATGGAGGAGAGCAACACTGCCCCTCCCTCCCCTGTTGCTGCAAAGTGTCATTTGCTAAACCACTTTCCTTCTTTACAAGAGAAAAGTTGGTGTTTAAACACCTACTAATAACTCTTCCTAAAGAGTTAAAGATTAAGTTTATGTAGGAACAGAATACCCATGTATTTTTTCACGAGGCAATCTCTGTGCCTTTAATGAGAGACCACAGGATATCGTGGTGCCCCCTCCTCCATCTGCTACGGTACAGCTGTTGCTCAATAACGTCAAAGAGGTTATTAAATATTTGAGTGATTTAGTGATTTAGAAATATTTCCATTCCAAAAACACAGTCATTTATGGTATTGGAAGTAAAGGAGCATCATAAGGCTTATTAAGGTATTAAGTATTCCAATTTGTTTTGTTTGTAGATGATACAAATATTTTATACAGAGCTTATAGTAGCTCGAAGAAAATGTCATCCCAGGGATTAATTAGCTAAAACAAACATTGACTACAATATCTGCTGGGAGCCTGATATCAAACATGTCCAAATTAAACTATTTAGAACCGCTTTTCTTCATAAAGTAAACCATTTTCTGAATTATAAAGCACCACAGATTATTTACTGTTCACTGTTTTTACCTTACTAGAGCTACTGTGTAGAAGTCTGGGTTAACACCTACAGGACATCACTCAAAGCACTATGCACACTGCAGAAAAGAGCTGTCATTATCATTCATGAGGCCGGCTATCATGTCCACACTTATTACCATTATTTCATTCCTGGTTGCTTAGTTTCTCTGATTTGGTCAAATTTTAACCTCACTGTTAATGTATTTTAAACTAGAGAGACTCACACAAACAAAAGAAGCATTTAGAAAGATTTTATTGACATGAATGAAATAAGTTCTTTGGCACTCGGACCCCAGCAGAGGACATAATTATAAAGTCTCAGAATGGAAGACCCTGTATTCAAGGCAAGACAGACAGTGGGGTTACTTCAAAATGCATTTAGTAAAAACAGGCAGATCTGCAGTGGCTAGGGTTTTTTAGGACAGTAACCTCTGCAGGCTACATAGGTTAGTGACCATGATAATCTGACAGAGGGTGATTATGAAAGGAGTGAGTCACTAACCTGGTTTAACAGCTCAATCCATAGCCAGAGAACGAGGTGGGATCCAGCCAGTGGGCTGCCAACAAGGTGCCGCCCAGAGTGTCCAAAATTCTGCAGCCCTGGAGAACATGCAGGAGTCCGAAGCTAGGCCAGGCACACCGATCAGAATAGGAACATGCAAGCTCATAGGTCCAGGGGTCTGAAGCCAAGTAAGGCAAACAGATCAGGTAAAGGCAGGCTCAGAGATCCAGGATTCCAAAGCCAGGTCAGGCAAACAGATCAAAACAGAAACAGGGAGGCTCAGAGATCCAGGGGTCCAAAGACAGGTCAGGTAAACCATTCAGATGGGAACGGGCAGGCTTAGTACGTATTTGAGAGGCAGAACAGGATCAGGTAATCAGAAAAAGTAAGATAATGCTAAGTACACTCTCACGACTGAGATCAGACAGGAACAGGCAGGCTCAGTGGTCGAGAGGCATAACAGGTCAGGATCAGGTAATCAGAAATAATAAGGTACGCTAACACTCTCACCACTGAGAACGAACAGGAAGAGGCAGGCTCAGTATTTGAGAGGTAGAACAGGTCAGGGTCAGGAAATCAGAGACACCAAGGTACTAAAAACACTCTCAACACTAGCTAGAGGAAGCAAGAGTTATCTGACTCTGATGACTGGATGCAAATGCCTTAAATAGAGGCAGGAACAGGTTGATCAGATGAGAGGTTATGAGCAACCGGACAGAGTTACATAGGTGAATTGAATGAATAATTAAACCAGTCATCAGTGCAAAGATCATGACAATAATAGGAAGAACAATACAGAGGAAGAGAACCACTAAGGTTGTGCTAAAGTAAGAAGAGAAGGGCTAAGAATTTATACTGAGCGAAGAAACGCGCTGATGTTGCACATGGTGGTGAGGTGCTCTGATGATGTGCATCATTGGGATGCACTGGTGATGCGCAGAGGTCAAAAGGCGCTGATGATATGCAGAGTGGTGAAAAGCAATGGTGAGGCCCTCGGAGGGCCTGAGATGAAATGCTATGATGCTGCGCCAAGAGGACAGATGCGCCAATTATTGGCCAGGAGGAAAGGTGCACTGAAGCTGTGCCCACAGGATGAAAGGAAAGGTCTGAGATGAAAAATGTGCTGATGATGAGCAGAGAGGAGAGAGGACTGATGCACAGAGAGGGCAGGTGCGCTAATGATGCAACAAGAGGGCAGGTGTGCTGTAGCTGCGCTGAGATGACAGAGGCACTGATGATGCGTAAAAAGGACAGATGCGCTGATAATGTGCTAAGAGGACAGATGTGCTAAGAGAACAGGTGCACTGCAGGTGCACTGAGAGGACAGATGCTCTGATGATGCACGGAAAGGACAAATGAGCTAATGATGCACTGAGAGGACAGATGTGCTAAGAGGACAGGTGTGTTGAAGTTGCCCTGAGAGGACAGATGTGCTGATGATGCGTGAAAAGGACAGATGCGCTTATGATTTGCTGAGAGGACACATGCACTGACGCTGTGCTGATAGGACAGATGTGCTGAAGCTGAGCCGAGAGGAAAGATTTGGTGACACAGCACTGATAGGACAGATGCCCTGAGAGGACAGGTGTACTGAAGCTGTGCTGAGCTTGTCCTCTTGGCACAGCTTCAATGAGCTGCGATGGTGACCTGTTGAGAAGTGTGATGCAATAGGGAGATGTGGGGCTCTAGTGAAGTGCTGGCTAGTGAGTGCATGCAAGGGTATCTACAATGATATGAAATTACAAGAATGTCAAGGCTCGAACAAGGGAGAACAAAATTATAGAGGCTTCCCACCAGTCATTTGCTGAACGCATTTGCGTAGATGCTAAGTGAGCAATAACCTTCTGCGAAGATTGTAATCCTAAGAAATCAGCGGGTGAGCTTTTGGTATGAAGATGTTGATGATGATGATTTGAGTGGCAGTGGACAGAACTGTGCCTATTATAAATGTAGGGCATGAAACAGACTGAGCGGAAGATAATAAGAGCTGGAAATCCTTTCACATTTTTGAGGAATCATAAGAAAGAGTTCTGGTATGATGAAGAGATTGCTGAAGAAGGCAAATCTTGTTGGGTTTAGACCAAACTGAAATATGTAGCGAAGGGGCTGTTTTATTAGCAAAGATACAAGTAATAGGCCTTTTCCTTTGGTATGATTCGGTTGGAGATTGGAGTACTTGGGTAAACATGAGATTGAAGAAGCTAAGGCTTACTGAAAATGTTACTTCCCTGAGAAGTCATGAGGTTAAAGGGGAAGTATGGGAGAGATTAAACTACTTTAATAAAATGAACCAAGAAGGATAGCAATGAACTTTCTTCCAGTTGAAGAATGATTCTTTGAGATATCCTAGAGAACCTGAATGGTTTCATTGAAAGCTTGGGACACTGACTGGGGATAGAAGGGTCAGAATTGGCAACGACGAAGCAAGTACATATCCCGGAAAACTTGAGAATGGAGTCACGTACTTATAAAACTGAAGTGGATCAATTGAGAGAAAAACAATGACAAGCAAGGGGATTCCATCTGTGGGTTGGCTGGACCTGAAATGGTAGATTGAAGAATTCTCAGTGAGGAAGCTGAGATCTGAGTGCTCATGTTGGCCATTGGCAGATGCTGTTCCTAGGACATCTTCAATGGGTCATGGTAGTAAAGCAGCAGATCGTTCTTCGCAATATTGAAAAATGTTCCCAACGTCTGTGCCTACAGCCTTAACCTAAGCATCTTAATTAGAGAAATACTTTGAGTTTCCAACTTTAGTTTTGCCTGGAATAGTGAATGTGTATGAGAATGTACACTCCTCTCGATAAAGAATTGTGTGAAGAAGCAAGGAACAAGTTCTAGAGGGAACATTGGAGGTTTGGATAAATACATCTCACCTGTGGAGAATCAGTAACGGACCTTTGACAAGCTTAAGGTAGATGGGAGAATTCTAGCCTCATCACGAAAAAAGGTTTGAGTGGAAGACGGAGGAGGTGCAGGTGAGGCAGAGACAGGAGTCGTGGATTCCGGCAGGTAAGCAGAGAGATGAGGCGGAGTGGTTAAGCTTGTCCATGGGGGTGATGAGTGAGGAGGAGAGGAGACTAATGATGTCTGGCGAGTCTAGGCCGGATGAACTCGTGGAGGAGCTGAAGTCGAAGTGGGTGGAAGGCGGAGATGTAGAGCAGATTTAAATCATATGTGATAACAGGTGTTACAACTGAAGGTCGGCAGATGCACTCAAAGTTCGGCTGATGTGCTAAATGGGGAAGCTGGGCCTTTGTCTTGATGGAGAGCATCTTGGAAAAAAAGCTATGGAGAGGGTGCGGTCCATCGTCAATTCAGTGAAGCTTGAGCAAGGCACGACAGCAGGAGTTCCATTTGAAGCTGAGAAAGAGTCTTTCATGTTGAAGGTTTTGCTTTAGCTTCATAAAGCGAAGAACAAACAAAGACCACTCAGCATATCATTTCTTTTTCTTGAGCGAGGTAGGATATATTTATGGTGTCAAAGTATAGAAAAGACTCATTGTTGAATTAAAGCAATGTCTAAGCATTAGACTATTTAGGAAAAGGATCAAACTGGTTTTCTTTAGTAGATACGAGATGGAAGAAGGGCGGTGAGCATCGATGGGTACGCTCAGTCACTAAAAATGGGTGTATACATAGTTTTGCAAAGGATGTGGTCGTGTGAAGTATCAGTATTAATTGTTCAATGTGTACATAAATTAATTTGTCTATGTAGGTACATTAATTAATTATTTATTTTTTCACTCAATGTATTTTTGGAGTCGTTTGGATTCATTAGTAAATTAGAAATCAGAAAAGTGGACAAAATGAAGGAGGAGGGAACTTAAATAAGTTATTTACATATATCATTAATTCTATATATTTTTTTGTATTTGTATTTCCTATCTTTTCTTGATTGTCAGAAACTAAGTTACTTATTCATTCATTAGTTTATAAATGTATTCTGTGGGAAGACAAAAATTGTATAAATGTTAAAAGGTGCATTATGTTCCCAAAAGTAAACACTGTAAATTCTGTTTCATTTTCAGAGAACACAAAATGTTAGAATGTTTATTTAATGTCTATATAAATGCACTGATACAATGAATATGTGCTCAAGGTTAAAATTTTAAACCAACATAAGTTAAAAAAAGAAGCAACCTAAACGCATCTATCTATCTATCTATCTATCTATCTATCTATCTATCTATCTATCTATCTATCTATCTATCTATCTATCTATCTATCTATCTATCTATCTATCTATCTATCTATCTATCTATCTATCTATCTATCTATCTATATATACTTGTCGGAAATACTAATGAAGGATAGATTTCAGAAAATTCATACTTAAGTGTCAAGGTGAAATAAATCGTTGAATGAAATAGGTTTAATGCGCACGACTAACATTTAGCTGCCTTCTTGCTAATGAACAAAAGAGAAATGCCAATTCCGACACCAAAGATGTCTCAGCTCATTACCCCGATTTTCAATGGCTGCCGGGCGTGAAAATGACAGCCCCTAATTTACCACAGAGGGATGGCAATTTGTCTGACACACCAAACAATCTGCTGATGCAAAAACTAAAGGGCCTTTCAGTGTCACTGGGAGGTAAAGAAGAATCAAATGTAGAACATAATGGGTCTGACATCGAAAAGACAGGTATTTGTCTTCCACTGAAGGCCACCAAACCACAGGGGCCTGTAGGCATAGACAGTTCCTTTATTTGTCATAAGACTCTGACTTTTAATTGTGTCAGTCAAGGATTTCAGCACCTTTAGGATGGCAGATATCAAACAATGCTTAAAGAGTTGTTGTTATAAAAATATCACATTTTGTGAGAAAATGTCAGAGGTGTAGTAACAGTGTTTTTGTGTTTAAAAAAAACATGATAATCATAGCTTTTACTTATTCATACGTTGTGGTTAAATCTGGGATTTTTAGCTAGTTTGTATCCTAAGCTGTCGATTGAGAAAACAAGAATCAAATAAATCCTTAAATTGTTCGTCTAGTATTCTTGCTTTATCTTGCTGCACAATAGTTCAATTTATATGCACCTGAGTACCATAAGCATGCGATCTTAAGGACAAAACGACAGAAGAGACAAAGTAAATCCAGTTTGATTGATTGTATATCAGCTCAAGGAAACCAGAATGAAATTGAAGAACCCTAACCTGTAAAAGAGTTACAGGATTATTTTTATGATTCCCCTCTGAGAGACTGTTTCATTATATATACACTTCTGTTCAATTTATTTATTTGGTTATTTATTTATCTACTAATATTAAAGTGTCCATGTAGACAAAAGAATATTTTTTGCAAAGCATTGTAAGATGGTTGTCAAATGATAGACGAGTCAACCACATTATTTACTCGATCCAGGTATCGTCCACACTGGAATTCCATCTTTTAGGAGCGAACAGACATGCTGGTGAATGGAAGAGAACTTGAAGATTACTCACCTCGTACACGTTGAATTGACTCTGCCCTCGAGCTAGCTCTCTATAGCTGGTAGTGAAATCCCCAATGAAGTCATGGCTAGGGAAAAGAAAGTGTGAACCAAACAAAAAGTCAGAAACCTCAGAAAAGGAGTTTTGGGGCAAAAACAAAACAAACTTTAACCCCATAAGTATTTATACTGAACAGAGAGGCTTTTTGCAATAATGTCAAAACATGTTGTGTTGTTGCAGAGAATTGTATGTGAACTTGATAAACAAGTGTTTTCAATCACCTGCCATCCCGGTCCCAGTCATACACCTCTACTTTGATTGTTCTGTGCAAAGAAAAAAATACTCAAGTTAGGAAAACTTTGCACATGGTTGTCCCTTAGCAACACCTTTAAAGGCCAATCGTTATGACCCTCAAATTTATATAAAAACAATAATAATACTCATAATTATCAGAAACATATTTTTTTGACCAAATGATTCCTTTGCAAGTAGAGTGGTTTCCTTTTTAAGAACCCTTTAAAGTTTTATATTTTTGCTACATTACAGCCCATAAAACATGTATATATTTGAGATGTTATGTTATAATTTGGATCGAAAAAATAAATATATGGCTTCTAATATATGTAAAGAAAAAGTTGTATTCAGCTCACTTTACCCTACTGTAAAATGCCATAAAAAAAATACAGCTCCATCAGATGCCTTGAGAAGTCGAAACAGAGACCCCTTATAGTGAGGAAAATAAGCAATTGAACACCATGCTATTTTCCCAGATCCCCTAAATATAAATCATGGAGGGGTCTGAAATTATGAACATAGTTGCATGTCCACTGTCAGAGACATAATCTGTAAAAAAAAAAAAAATAAATAAAAAAATAAAAAATCACGAAATCACAATGTATGTTTTTTTTAAACTATTTTTTCGTTTGATACAGCTGCAAATAGGTATTTGAACACCTGAGAAAATCAATGTTAATATTTGGTACAGAGGCCTTTGTTTGCAAATACAAAAGTCAAACGTTTCTTGATTTTTTTTCACCAGGTTTGCACACACTGCAGGAGAGATTTTGGCCCACTCCTCCACACAGACCTTCTCTAAATCAGTCAGGATTCTGGGCTCTTTTCACAGTGGACATGCACCTACAATGATAATTTTCAGACCCCTCAATGATTTCTCAGTGGGAGAACTTGCAAAATAGCAGGGTGTTCAAACACTTATTTTCCTCACTGTAAGTTAACATTAATCTTACGGCCCCATAACATCCACCAGGGAAACATGGAGGCTTAAACATCATACAAACAGTAACACTTTGGGAAGTTGTCTCTTTAAATAGATAGGCCTTCAAGAAAATTTAGTTTGTTTTTAAAACATTGCTTTAAACATCACTTAAACCAAATATGGATGCTGTTCTTGTTTAGTTTGCTGCTGGCTCAGTGTGATTTGTGTAATTCAACTACAAATTGGCTTTAAGTTCCAGCACAGCCCTTTGCTTTCTTGTGCAGGCAGCGTTAGAAATCCAGTTGACTATAATGGTTGCAAGCAGTGTAAATTGGAGGATACTTTGAGGTAAAATGAGCCAGTGCACTGACTACACGCTTGTCCACTTTATCAGGCTGGAGTTATTTTTCTAGAGGTTCGGGATTGTCTTTGTGAAGCTATATTTCAAGTTAAAGGTTGTTTTAAAAAGTACTAATTTAGAAAGTCGCAACAGAAATTCACCTAACTCTTGTTATTTGGAAAAGAAATAATCTCTGTCATGAAATCTCTTTACTATGAAAGAATTCTTTAAGGAGATAAAATAAAGAATTGTCTGCTCACTAATATATTATGCTGTTAAAGCTTTTCTATTCAACAAAGACACACCAGTCTCTGAAACAATTCTTTAAAGGGATTTTATAATTTGATAGTATTTCATGTAAAGCTGCATGGTGCAGCTGTTAGAAGAAGGTTAGGTGCAGGTTTTATCATGGTGGAAAAGAGAACTTTTACAAAGCTTTTGCACCAATGCAAAATCAGAACCTGCAGCACATGTTGGCTTCCACCATACAAAACCCACACACTTGCATTTTACACAAACGAAGCAGAAAGTGTTCCTGCAGAGATAAAAAAAAAAGTCAAAAACTTTCCTTGGCACTTTCATTCTATAGTCACATTGATCCCACCCCTACCTCCCTTCTCTCTTCTTCCATCTTACCCAAGCACCGACACCTTCCAGGTCCAAAGGAACCTCAATCAAGCAATACATCATAGAAGCTTTCCTGCTACTGAGGTACTGAGATACGCCTGTTAGAATCCCAACTTCCTCCCTACCATCTGCCCCATGCTGATTCACAGCGTAGGTTTATTCTTTTGAAGGTGTGAGCTAGAGATAAAATCGGCTTGTCATCCCGCAACATACATGGCCCTTCTCCACCAATGAGGAAAAGAACACACAGAGAAAGAGACAGCAGGAAGGAAGTAAAAAAAGAACAGACTTTAACAAGCTCTAATAACAGGAGCAAACTGAGAACAGATATTGACGTTTAACGACACTCTGTGATATTTTAACGAAGGACATAGATACTGCTCTCATGTAAACTCAAATCATCTGACAAACGTTACTGTTTTTTATTTCTTATCTTATCTTACAGCTGTGTAGAAGTACTCTGGAGCTTATTTCCTCTAGTGGTCCTTCTAGAACAACATATACTTGAAAGCTGATCCACCAGAGATATTCTCCTTTGAAATTTTGAAGTATTTCTTTTCAAATATTTTTAATTTATTAATCATGAATGGAATTCAGTCAAACGCAACAAAAATGATCCATCTTCACCTGTGGTTTCTTTTCTTCATAGTGAAAACTTGTACCAGCTGCTTTTAAGATGAGTAATTCTCCAAGTAGAGTTCACAGTAGAGCAAAAAACTGACACAGAACGTACTCTTTCCCAGTGTTGTATAGTAACAAAGTAAAAATACTTCACTACTGCACTTAAGTATATTTTGGAGTCCTTTATACTTTCCTCGAGTAAAGATTCTTTGACAAATTTCAAGTTGACTTCACTATATTTCCAAACTTAATTGCATACTTTTACTCTGATACATTTTCAATGTTTGGTTTAGTTACTCGGTAAAAAAAAGCGAGTGTGAGAGAAATGCAAATGTTTTGACCCCACCTACTGATTGACTGCGACAAATTCGGTACTTGCCTGGGCTTGTCCATTCCCACCAATAGGTACACCTGTTTCGCTTCTCCCATTAAACACAAAGCCAGTGTCGCTATTTGCGGCAGCCACATGGAAGAGGAGACGGAGACAACGACAGCGACTTCAACAATGTTGAACTTGGCTACAAGGGAACCACCAGTTGGTGGTGAGAACCCATGGTCGTAGCCTTATTTAAACACAATGTACTCTTTCATGGGTGTTAAAGATTCTTTGTACCGCATTAAGTGTCTTTTATTCCTGCCCAAAGACGTGGAAATTCTATCTCACAAAAACTCCCCGTGCAACTCAAAGAAACACATTGAGGTATTTTCTTATGAAATTGTAATAATCCTAATCTTTCAGTAAGTAAAACTTGGTCACTCTGCACTACTGTGAAAGCTTGAGCATAACGTAGCAGGTTTACACACTCCCTGGTGTATACTAAATTTTGCCTGCACTTGGTTGAGATCACTTTTAAAGTGTATAGTATAGTATAGTATGACCTTACTTGAAAAAGGAAAACTGAAGGCTTACAAGAAGGTTGTATTTTCTGTCTAAACTTGGTCTGAATTTCTCCTGCAATTGGTTGTGTATATTATTGAAATGAATATGACCTTCGTCAAGTTTAACAACATATGATAAATGTAATTTAAACTGCATATGTTTCACTTTTTACCGATACTTTTCATTACATTACTGGAGTACATCTATTTTTACAGTAATTCTCATGCTTACTGTAAGTACAAGACATTTCAGATACTTTAAGACTTTAACTCAAGTAAAATTAAAGTCAGTGACTTTGACTTTTACTAAAGTCATATTTTGGAGAGGTACTTATACATTACTTTCTGACTAAATCATGCAACACTTTGAATAACATCCAGCTTCCTTTGTATCCTTTCCACTCTCATGTGTATTAAACTTAAACAGGGTATGTGACATATTAGATTTCTTAATTTCTTCAGCAACAAAGAAAATATATGTCTTTGTTGTATTTGATCTGTACCTCCTTTTAGCTCTTTCTTCTTCGTCTTGCTTTAAACCTAATCATCCCCTGCCTCCTCTTGATTAATAGAACAAAAGCAAATGATTTTATGTTTTTTTTTTTTTTTTTGATGGACCATCTGCCTAATCACTGAGTCATGCTGGTTATGACCTCCTTCCTCAATTAAAGCTGAAGGTGGATTTGTGTTTCATCCATTTTTGTGAAGTTGGCCATATGTTAAATTAAATCTATGATTAACTTATTTGCTTTAGAGAATCAGATCTTACGTTTTAATCCTATCTAAAGCAGAAATTAAAACATTTCTGTATAACAGTGTATTTATTTGGATTCATCCTTATATAAACACATGAATTAGACACTATTTAAATAGACTATCCTTAAATCTCACAGTAGTCCACGTTCTACACAGAGCAAACACATAAAAGCAAAGGGAAAAAAAATGTTAATGAAAGTAAATAATTTTTAGCGTTTTTTTTTTTTTTTTCCGTATTTTATGTTAGTAACAGCCATGAATTGTGATGTTTTATGTTGGTAATTTATGCAACTGTACTGAAAATATTCTAAACTTCCCCATGAGTTTATCTATAATTGTTCGACTTGGTCTTCATGATGCTGCAATCTTTACAGAACAGGTCTATTTATACTAAGATTAACTTTCACTTAGCTGGACTCTGTTTACGAGTCAGCTTAAATGTGAGATGCTCAAATATCCGGCTATCAGGCTTCTTTTGTCATGATCTTGGCACTGATAACTGGCTGGATTAATCAGTACATACATCTGCCTAACTCCGCCTGTTTTCTCAGTACTGTTCATCTGATCCACCTGCTCCAGTCTCTGTTTAACCAGCCTTCTAACCAGTCATCAGTGCCACGTTATTCTCGAGCTAGTAGTGAGAGGGCTTCAGTGTTACTGTACCTTAGTGTTTCCGATTACCTGATACTGACCCATTCTGCCTCTCAATCACTGCCTGTTCAATCTGACTGTTTGACTGACCTGTCCTTCAACTCCTGCTGGATTCTGCCAGTTTACAGAACTTGGAACTGATTCCTGACACCTTCCTTTGATTTCCCTTCGGAACCTCTTCGGACGTCTGATCTCCTGGTTCTGACTCATGAACAGGTTCTCTGCCCTGACTTTGGCTTTGCCCTCTGGATCTTTCTGCCCTCCTTCGTCTGCCCGGATCTACTCTCCTGTTTGTTGTACTTCCTTCTGGGCTGCAGCGTCTGGGACACTCTGGGCGGCACCCAGAGTGTCTTGTTTGCAGTCGACCAGCTGGATTCTACCTTGTTTTATAGGCATAGACTAAACTATAGAACCAGGTTATGGACTCATGTCAATCATCCTGCATCAGATTAATGTGATCATTAACCTGAGTTTTCCTCCTGCAGAGGTTACTGCCTTAGACGTCTTTGCTATTACTACAGATCCGCAGTTTTTAAATAAATGCTTTTGGATTATCAGACTGTCTGTCTGCCTTGAATACTGGGACCCCTGTTCTAAGCCGTGACATCTTTTGAAACTTTAACTATGGAGGAGGAATCTGGAAAAAGAGGGAGAGTTTACAAAGGCCTGACAGAATGTTGATGTGCAAAGCTTTTTATCCGTAACAAAATTGTGTATCAATTTTTTTCATTCACTTTAGCATACTGCATTACTTTGCATTTCTTCTATCATACCAGCTCCCTATAAATACTTTGAAGTTATGAGAGCAGCAACACATCCACTTAATAGAAAGTCTTTGGACCCATTTTTAATTACTCACAAGGGGAACAAATCTAAACGAAAGTCGGTCAATACATTTAATCATATAACCTAGCAAATACAGGACGTTTTTTCATATCTGCACAAATTTCAAACCTCTATTAGCGGTATTGTTGAGGGTATTTACAGACTTTAAGACACGTAGGCTGGTTCAGTAAGAGCCATGACATTTTATTTATTCAGTGCGTGGGTATGTGAGCATTTCAAGCATTTTAAGCATGTTTGCTTGGCACAGGAGCATTTTAGGAGGAGCCTTTCATGTCCTTATATAATATATATATAATTGGCTCCGAGAAGTAAAAAAAAATAAAAGAACTCAAAGCTCATGTGTGATTCAGCACCAGACAAGTTTCATTCAACTTTACCAAGGCTCCATATTTACTAATTGTGGAAAACCCACATATCCGTAAAGCAAATATCTCTGTTTGTAAATTTAGCTAAGCTTTCTTTTTCACACACCAGTTTCTTAGCAGTTTCCATAATTCGAGTTTGACTGCAGACAAAACAAGATAAGTCAGACACCTTTGAGAGAGAGGAAGTGAGACCAAGATTGAATATTCCTTGTGAAATATTTGCCCCCATAAACCAATCTGTCTGTCACTCTCTTCTTTCATCTATCCTCAAAGTTCCTTCAAGATTTATCTCATTTTTTTCACACCACTGTCTTTTTAAATTAGAAATGTGGAGATAAGCTTTGAGGAAAGTGAATTCTTATCATCTTTGACTAAACAAGTTTGCATTAATTATGTGCCTGCTGGGAAAGAACCAACACAGCATTATTTTTGTTTTTAGATTCTGTGTTTATGGTATTTTCAATAGTGTGCTAAAAACAAATCAATAATTAATATTTATCTGCTGAGCATTTAGCCTATTTAGGCAAGCACTTCTTAGTCACCTTAAATACACTGCCTTGAGACTATATTCATAAGCATTCAACCTTTTATTCTATTTTATGCTATGTCGCTCTATGTGCAAACTTTAACAAATCCTTCGGATAACTTTGGGTTTCGGTCAATATTAGGCAGTCCGATCTTAAATGGGAAGAAAATTATTTAATTATGTATTTCTTTTTCTAAAGCACAATCTAAAAATTATATGTCTTGCTCTGTATTTCATACTGGGTAGGACATTTTCACTGAATTAACAAATTCATGTTTAAGTAGCTATATCTTTACCAGCTCTGTATATCCAAACAAAATGTCCCTCCTGATCTTCTAAATATCTTCAAAGTATCTCAATCGCAGCCAGTTTGGACAGAGAACAGCATCACCATGCTTTGCCTCAGGTTCTAATGCTACATTCACACCGCAAGCAGCAGGAGCAGCAAAAACACGTGTGCTGCTTAATTTTTTATGCTTGTACAAGTTTACTTCTGACGCACAGCTGAAGCATCTTTGCTGCTCCAGTGGCGCAGTGGAAAAGTGGGTCTGATGCACGTTGTGCAGAGCTACTCTGTCCTTACTTTGCCTGTAACAATAGCAGCTATATTTGCTATTATCAGTGGGTAAAACATAGTATTAATGCTTTCAAGTGAAAAAGTCCTACTGAAAACTTCATCTGTGCAGTCAGTTCATCAAGTCTATGACCATGCCTTCAACTGTTATTTTGCTGTTGGAGCCGCTCAGACCCCCGTGCACCATCGGTGCACTGTTACTAGGAATCAGGTTCAACAGCTGCCTCTGGCCTTGTCGCCTCTTCGCGGTTTGCCGCTACTGTTTCCAGCGGCTGGAAGTAGATGTTAGAATTTTTCAAGCACGTAATCCAAACTGCAGGCACAAGGATAATAAAAGCAAACATGTTTTGCCAGCAGGTTTCGGCATTTCTGGTTAATTTAGGCTTAAAAAAACTGTTTCAGAAGAGTGATCATAGCAATCTGCATCAGCAGTGCTGTGTCCATCTCCCTGCCAACTTCTCTGATTGGTTGATGTGGCGTGTCGAGCAGCAAAAGATACATTTTTCCAACTCCAGCAGCTGCTGCTTCTAAAGCGCATCGCATCAGATGCTCAGAAGAAAAAATGGTGTTTGCAATCTTTTCCAAAGTACCTTCTTCTTTCATTCTTGCAGTGTCCCATCGACCACCTCTGGCAAACTGTGAACAGAGCTTCTTATTTCCTGTTTCTAGAAATGACTGCCCCTTTGCCATTCCTGATTAAAGAGTGAATGAGTTAAAGCTGCCTCATTCCCATCCTCAATGTTGATCTCTGCAGGTCCTCCTGACTTTTGCAACCATGTGACCTGTCCTTTTGTTTAGTCCGCACATGATGTCTTGAAAGGCTTCTGCAGCTTTTGCAGGCCAGCAGTGTTTATATTTTAATTAGTAATATGAAAACCTTTCATTACGATTTTAATCATGCAAATTAATTGTTTTTATTTTGGGAGATATCAAAGTAAATGTGGTGGCGGGGAAATGGTGTTACCTTTTAAAGATTTCTTTTTGCCTTAAGAAATTAAAAGAATACCATGTATCATCTTCCAATCACTTTTTGAGAAACTTAAAAATGAAAATAAAAAATCACCAGTTTTAGTCTAAATTCAGCTCTCACAAAAGAACAGACTGTATGGGGTGTAATTAAGCTGTAGATTTGTCAAATATATTGAAAATGAGAGACGGAATATAAAAAAAAGTTGGGAAGAAACAGCTGTGGTTTCAAAATTGAAGGTGTCATACTGTATATTTTTGATAATGTAGTTCAGGATGTAGTAACAGCTAAATAATTTAATGTTCTTTTTAGCAGTCGTTCCTTCTATTCATGAAAAACAAATCAAAACAAATAGTAAAATAACTAGATTCTTTCCATTTGGTTGACTGAAGATATTTATGGGTTGACCGAATGACCAATTTAATCGCAAGGCACAATTTTTACTCTACAATATTTTTTTCTGCCAAGCGAAACATAACACTCTATATTTGCATGTGCTGTTACTTTATACACATTCACATAGTTTTACAGAATACCCTTTGTAATTTATTTACCATAGTAAAAAATGACTGGACACATGTAGGATGTTAACAGTGAATAATCACATCATATGCTAATAACAAAAGACCAAAAATCTAGTTAATTATAATAAAATATCATCTACTCCAATTGTCTGTCTTGATAGCATTTAGATCGTGCCTTTTGCTCCTAAATAGAACCGCAGCACCAGACATGATGAACAGACATAAACGGACATGAGGCTACCAATGCAACTACTACTGTAAATAATCATGGTTAATAGCACTGATAACACCAGTAATACTATTAGCAAGGACATGTACTGACGAGTCTATCAACTACATCACAATGATTACAAAGCGAACAGAATAATTTCCCAGTGCAACTCCAATTTTATCCCTTTTTGAATTAAACATCCTATTGAGCCCTCTTACTCTTAATCTGGAACTATTATTTTTTTTCTCGCAACTCCTTTAGACGTTGCCTACTCACTTGCCTCCTTTTCTTCGGCTCATTGACCCAATTGACACATCAGCAGTGACAATCCTGGTCAAAAGATGCTGTTATGGTAAACATACACAAAAAGGCTGTCTTTACTAACAAACTGAGCAAAAACAAAGCTTAATAGACCAAAATAAATACTAAACCAGCAGGACGCTGTGACTTGTCATGAAGCCATTCTATCCAACTGGAGTGAGCTAGCATTTAATGCCAAATAACGTGACTGTACCTTTAAACCTTCATTGATCACATTTGCAAAATAAAGAGGTGGTAACTTTGAATTCTTTCATATAAAATAAATTAAAAACTTATCTTTAGCTGCATGCATGCTAAAAAATATTGATTGTTAGTGGAAATTATATAATTACTAAAAGATTGATGAATACATTTTTTAGGATACATAGGTAAAGAATGCTTTTGAACTAAGGTTCATACTAATGAATAAAACACTAATAGCTTCCTGAGCTGGTAAGCTTAAACAAACAGGTATGGATTCCCACTGGTTAAAGTATTTCTATATATAAACTGATTCCACTTTGTAGACTTATTAGAAAGGCGCTAAGAGCCGTAATGGCAGTCCATTGACTGAGGTAACAGTAATCAGTGACAGCAGATCCCATTTGTGGTGAATATACTATTATGTTTTATTAATCAGGCAGAGATACAGGGGGGAAATACAGTGGTGAATAAGGAAACAGTTTGAAGATATAGAGTGCGGGGAGAGTGTTGTACCTGTCATAGTCCCCATTGCAGAGTGCTCTCACTGGGATGGTAAAGGGCTGCCATACTGGATTTAATGTGTTCTTCACCACCTCTGTTTTGTGGCAGATAGTAAACCTAGAGGCAGAAGAAAATGGACATAAAAAGGATATCCTCAAGAAGAGTGCTAAGATGAAATTGTATTCTTTGTTGCCTTCAACACCCGGAGGGAATGAAAGAGAAATATACTAAATATTCAAAGAAGGGGGAGGAGTATGTGACTGAAAAGAAAAAGAAAAATAAAATCCAGAAGAAACAGCAGAGATATAAGTCAGTCATTATCTCACAGTGCCAGGAGAAATGCTTTAAATAGGGTTTTGTTTTCCTCTGGTCCCACATTTTAGACCGCAGAGACCAATTTAAACAAGCATGACAATGACCTGCACATGGATTTTTGAGATATGTGGAGTGTTTTGCAGAGTAGATACCAACCAAAGGTTCTTTTGAAAGGCAGAAATGTGTTTCACACTCTTGTCTTACCCAAAGCCCTGGATTAGGCTGTTTGTGCTAAACTGAGTGTGTCAAGTTTTTAACGCCTAATCACTTTTTCACCCATACTACCCTTTAATTTGCACCCTTGTCTTGCACCAATTGAAAATACTTGGAGCAGGACTAAGGGATCTATTCCAGCATGGTTAAATTTGTTAGAAAAGACTCTCAGGAAAGCCTGTAGATATCTTTAGCAAGTTACAGCTGACGTTTGCTCCAAATACGAATCGCTACAGTCACCTGGGGAGTACTTTGAGGGAAGTGCTCCTCTTGTGAGGAGATTGGAAAGTGTTATACACCTTTTAGCAAATAGCCTCTGTAAATGACCGCTTTTTTGCCCTCATTAAAATGCAGATGCTGAGTTTTGTTATTCCCTCATTCTACATGTTTACATTAATTGCCTCTTTTTTCTCTTCATTTCTGCAGTCTTAGACTCATTTATAAGTAATATCATGGGAATTTACTTTACCCAGCTCTTTTTACAGCCTCCGATGATGTACATGCCTCAGTAACCACAGCAGTTTTCCTTTAAGATTGAGCGAGGATGCAACCCACAGCTCATCTCATTAAATTGTTTCTGCCTCACATACTTTTTTTTTTTCAACCCCACAAACTTAAAATCTTGGAGATAGATCGATTCAAAATAGGCCAACTTTGTGAGCTGCAAGGAAAATGATACATGTTTGCAAGATGCCTTGGAAAAGAAAACAGGAAGTCAATACTTAAAAAAGGAAAAAATTACACATGCAAGTTTTTTGAGATTTTGTATGTCACAACTTGTTTGAACATTTAGCAACCGATGCGAAAGATGGCAATCAGCAGAGCTCTCTCTGCCAAGCTAACCAATCTACTTGCTCAGTGGATAGCCAGATGCTGCCATCCCATCAGTGTGGTTGAAGATGATAGGCTTGAGCTCACTCTCCAGGCGGCCACATTTGACCCATCTAACCCAACTACCTGTAAGTCCAACTATCCTGAGGATAATACATGTCCAGCAAGCCTCGAAAGATGAGAACCACTGGACATCTATCAAAAACGATAACTACCTTTGCGTTAATTTACACTTCAGCTATGCTAGCTTGGAACTTCACTCCTTCACTTTAGGTAGGCTATGTTATGTAGGGTGACCAGACGTCCCCGATTTCCGGGGACTGTCCCCGTTTTGGACCACCTGTCCCCGGCTAAAGCTGTCCCCGGAAATGTCCCCGATTTTACCGAGGCGAAAAATGTTGCGTGTAGACTGTTATTACAGTAGAGCTGTTGCGCGCAAAAATAGGTATTACGGTAGCTGGTTGCGCTGCTGATAACATAAAGATAAGGAACAGAGCGCACCACAATAAGGGCGGTAATGATCCTTTTGGATGTCAGCTGCCATTAAAAGACAAAGAGGAAGAAGAGCGCATCACTTTTAAAACAGAAGAAGAAGAAGAAGAGGAAGTTCGTTTTTTACAACCTGTGGCAACTGATGGGGAGCTACGCTGAGTGATGGTGAGTGTGTTAATCAATTAATTTTATTCTGATCGGCCTGATCTTGTGATAAATGTTTGGTTTGTGTCCAGGTTAAAACAGTAATAAAAAGTAAGACCAGACCACGAGTTGAGCATGAGTAAAAGACGCTGGGTTAAAATGTAGCAAAATGATTGAAAACTCCTTGTAAGGCGCTAATCTGGTACGCTGGTTCTCCAGGGATCAATAAGGGTTTGTATAAAGATGATTTAGAATGGATAGGTGACCTTTAGTTTATATTTCAGATAGTTATTATAAGTAGAGTTATTTCAATTTGTTTTGATGATTTATGGTTGTGATTTATGAGTATAGACTTCCAGTTTTTGGTGTGCTTTTTTACTGCTCAGTTTGGATATATATGAAAGTTCCTTGTGAAAAAATAGGAGTCAGTAACAGGAGAACTGAATAAGACAAGATCTACATGATTTGAGAATGATGGAGGAAGAGATAACCACCTGTTTAATGTCCATTTATTATGTGGTTTTTGCTTGTAGCTCCTAATATTGTGGTAATTAGAATTTTTAGTATTTAGATGAGACATTAATAATAATAAGTTTTCATGTTGCACATCCTAATTTTTTTGGAGGTGATTTTGATTATATAATGTCTCTGTTTTAGAATAATGTAAGATTGATGCTGGATGAGTGAGGAAGAAGATAGAAAGACAGAAAGGAGATTGAATGAGAGAGGAGGAAACTAGGAACTCTGATAGAAAAAACGGTTGACAAGAAGGGAGAAAATTTTACTTTGAGGAGTAAAGCAGAGAGCAGGAAACATAAGAGGAAGCCTTAATGCACAATACAGAAGCTGTGAAAAGAAGGATTAGGGCTGTGTGTTTCCTGGACGGGGCCGCCTTTTACAGCTGCTTTTTGTATCTCTGCTTCTGTCTCCTTGAACCCCAGTGGGCCTCAGCAGATGGCCGCTCACACTGAGCCTGGTTCTGCTGGAGGTTTCTTCCTGTTCAAAGGGAGTTTTTCCTCTCCACTGTCGCTACAAGCATGCTTAGTGTGAGGGATTGCTGAAGAGTCAATGAGTCGATGCAATCAACTGGTTTTCCTTAGATAGAAAACTTTGTATCGATTTGACTGTATGATCTGGTTGAACTGTAAAGGGCCTTGAGATGACATGTGTTGTGAATTTGGCGCTATATAAATAAACTAAATTGAATTGATCTGGCTAGGTGACAGTAAGAAACATATATGAACCTTTACCTGCAGGCTTGACTACTACTTGTTTTTTTTATGTTAATGAAGAAAAAAAATATTTCTTATAGGTATGTACAGTAGATGTAAACAGAATAAGTATTTGTTGCACTTTTTTGAAGAGGTGGGGAAACTCTGTCTCAACAGACAGCCACAGGCATAGAATAAATGTTTGTATTTACTTTTCTAAATTTCTTTTCCTCATGTCACTCTCCCCTTAGGAGGCGGCAGAGCTCATTGGGCCCCCAAAATTGGAAAGCCCTGCTAATGACCCTTGACCCCTCCGCTCCCACCCCCACCACTTTGCCCCAACCCAGAGACACAGTTCTAGTTTTCTACTAATAACACTATTCATGTTATTAATCTTAGGATATACTAAACGTTTGGAAAGGCACATTCCTGGCTTTTACACTTGATTTTTGTTGTTTAAATATTAATAAATATGTAAAAATATATGAAACCATTACTGTCCCCGTTTCCTAATTTCATCTCGATAAGATGTATTGATTTTTATCCACGAGCAAGAAATGTCCCCAGATTTGATTTCAGAAATCTGGTCACCTTAATGTTATGTAACTTTAAATTTAGACACCACGAATGATTACCATGAATGATTACCACGAATGATTACCACAACATTATATTTGCTTCTTGATGATTGCTTGGGTGAATGTAGGTAAAGGTTAAAAACCTCGGGATCTTCACATAACTATAGACATTCTAAACACAGATTTTAGTATTATGCTCAAATGCTGTTGCCCCAAAGTCAGATTTTTTTGAGAAACTATATTGTTAAAGTGGGACAATCTACCTTTTCGCAGCAAAAACACAGTAACACATGACAAATAACTGTCAAAATCATAAATAAGAAGACAAAATTAATCATTTTAAATTCTGGAGGTAGCACAAACATATCATGAATGCCTTTGGTAGAATTCAAATGAGCCATTTTAAACCAGATTAATTCCAGGATTACAGTAAAATTAATCTAGATTTAAAAAATGAATCTATGCCCACCACTAATCATTATATATTTCTTCCATCTCCAAATGATAGATCAAGCAGTGCTTTATGAAATACACAAAATAATGCTTAAAAAAATATATATGATCTTTTGTTTTTATGTTGCAACATAAAGTTGACGGGGGCTGAATACTTATATGCATACTATTCACATTATCTTAACCTGCTTAAGTTTTCTTCCACTTGATAAAAATGTATGAATTATATTTGAATTAAATATTTACTGCTCAAAAAAATTTAAGGAACACCTTGAAAACACATCAGATCTCAATGGGGAAACAAATCATGCTGTTTATTTATACTGATGCAGACTGGGTGATGTGTTAGGAACAAAAGCATGCCAAATCATTTGATGGAAATGAAAATGATCAACCTACAGAGGGCTGAATTCAAAGACAACCCAAAAATTACAGTGAAAAAATGATGCGGCAGGCTAGTCCATTTTGCTGAAATTTCGTTGCAGCAACTCAAAATAGTATTTAGTAATTTCTATGGCCCCCACATGCGTGTATGCTGCCTGACAACGTCGGGGCATGCTCCTAATGAGAGGACGGATGCATCCTGGGGTATCTCCTCCCAGATCTGGATCATGGCATCACTGAGCTCCTGAACCGTCTGAGGTGCAACCTGGTGGTGTCGGATGGATGGAAACATAATGTCCCAGAGGTGTTTTATTGAATTTAGGTCAGACGAGTGTGGGCACCAATCAATGGTATCAATTCCTTCATCCTGCAGGAACTGCCTGCATACTCTCACCACATGAGGCTGGGCATTGTCGTGCACCAGGAGGAACCCAGGACCCACTGCACCAGCATAGGGTCTGACAATGGGTGCAGGGGTTTCATCCCGATACCTAATGGCAGTCAAGATGCTGTTGTCTAGCCTGTATAGGTCTGTTCGTCCCTCCATGGATATGCCTCCCCAGACCATAGCTGACCCACCACCAAACCGGTCATGCTGAACGATGTTACAGGCAGCATAACATACTCCACGGCTTCTCCAGACCCTTTCATGTCTGTCACATGTGCTTAGGGTGAACCTGCTCTCATCTGTGAAAAGCACAGGGCGCCAATGGCAGACTTGCCAAATGCGGTGTTCTGTGACAAATGCCAATCGAGCTCAACAGCTCCGGGCAGTGAGCACAGGGCCCACTAGAGGACGTCGGGCCCTCAGGCCACCCTCGTGCAGTCTGTTTCTTATTGTTTGGTCAGAGACATTCACACCAGTGGCCTGCTGGAGGTCATTTTGTATGGCTCAGGCAGTGCTCCTCCTGTTCCTCCTTGCACAAAGGAGCCGATACCGGTCCTGCTGATGGGTTGTAGACCTTCTATGGCCCTGTCCATCTCTCCTGGAGTAACTGCCTGTGTCTTGGAATCTCCTCTATGCCCTTGAGATTGCGCTGGGAGACACAGCAAACCTTCTGGCAATGTCACGTATTGATGTGCCATCCTGAAGGAGTTGAACTGCCTGTGGAACCTCTGTAGGGTCCAGGTTGCGCTTCATGCTAACAGTAGTGACAGTGACCCTAGCCAAATGCAAAACTGGTGAAAAAGAGTCAGAAAAGATGAGGAGGGGAAAAAATGTCAGTGGCCCCTGCCTGTAAAACCATTCCTGTTTTGATGGTCGTCTCGTTGTTGCCCCTCTAGTGCACCTGTTGTTAATTTCATTAACACCAAAGCAGCTGGAACTGAACAACCCCCTCTGCTACCTACCTGACCAAATCAACATCCCAGAAGTTTAATTAACTTGATGCTATAGTCTGATTACAAAGTGTTCCTTTAATTTTTTTTTTCAGTAGTGAATATCTGTATTTATGTGACAAAATGTAAATGTAACGTCCTTCAAGAGATATGGATATTCTTTTTTTTTTACATGAGTCTTAGGAGCTTCTGTCCATCTGTGAAGCTATGGTGGTTGGATGTATTTGATGTGCTGGAATCCAAGTTTGATTAAAGTTCAAGAAAAAGACTCTACCATAAGACTTCTGTGGTGGTAGCCTATTTACTAAACATGATATCACGATGTCTACTCAGATGTTTGCAAGAAAGGGCCAAGACAATCTGATGCCAAACATTCGAACAAAATAAAGAAACAACTGAACTTACGTTCCATCCTCATTGCTTCTGTAGAAAACCATGAAAGGATCAGACTTGCCAAAAAAGTCCTTTTTGTCCAGCTTGTTGGCACAGAACTGCATTGTGGCACTGTCCTGCAGAGAGGCATTGACATTAATGATGGCAAATCTCTTTAAGCTGCTTCATACCAATCTGTTGCAACTTTTTAAATATCAGAAGAACATAAAGAGTTACTATATTGTCTGTTAGAAAGTGCTTGACAATCATACATTACCAAAAAAAAAATGTCCATCTCATTTTTTATGGAATTTGCATAAAGGAAAGTGTTATTTTAGGTATAGTAAAATTGCTAGATGGGAAATGCACTTCAAGAGCTTCAGATCGACATCTATTTTCTAAATAAGCAGCTGATATTTGACCACTGCATATTATTTTCAATGAAAGAGAATATCAACTATATAAAATTGTCTATAACTATATTTTGTGTTCAACTGAGTAGCAGAGGGCTATATATGACCTCATGGCCAAAACAGTCACACCAGGTATAAGAACTTGATTTGTTGTCTTAGATTGTTGGAATATATTTTTCTACATACAAAGCTCATAATAATAGGAACATGTTGATAGAAAATATCCAGGAAGGGAGTCCAGTTAGCTTAAAACCTGCAGCACCCCAAAGATGCTCGCTCTTAGACTTTGACCTGCGTGGGCTTTACATCAGTGTTGATTGTGTTCCATTTTCTATAGCCTGCATCAAAATCTATTTCTATTCTTACATGATTCTTATGTTGTTTTAATGTTGATCCACTGCAGGAATTTAAAGACTGGGGCAGAAAAAAGTGAATTAAGTGTGCAAAATATATTACCATAGGCTTTTGATCCTTTATTTATAACTTGCTGAACATTCATAACTTTTCAATATTGTCTTTTTGATATTCCAATTTTATAGCTTTCGATGGTCCTTTGCATATAACTCATCCCCTAGAGAGCATTAGGCTGCACATGTTTGACCTGCATTCTGGGGCCGAACGGACCCGAGTGGCAGTCCACTGTGTGTTAGTGGAACGTAGAGCCTTCCAAGGGGTTAGGAGCACTACTCTAAACACCATGTTATCGCCCCCTAAATTTGGAGTTCATTTATGAATATCAGGTGGATATATTCATTATTTTATGCTTTATTACATGAATGAGAATGTATAAATAGTCAAACTGTCCAGAAGATCTTCTTAAATATGTTCAGTCATTGATTTTAAGAGTTAAGCAAAAAAAAAAAGAAGAAAAACAGACAACAAAAACAGAACATCTTCAAATTTCACAAAATGTTTTACTTTTTATAAGAAGTTTTTCTGTCAGAGTTAGTCTGCATATTGTAAATGTCACTAGCTTTGGAGCCTAACACTGAAGACTACAGGCTCTCAGCCAGAAAACCACTCTACCATTATCTACAAACACGACCTAATGATCCAGCATTTATTTCAGTGGGTGCGTGTGTGTGTTCATGTTAGTGTAAACCTGAATGTTATACAAGCATTTTACATTTTTAATCGGGCAACTGCATTCATGGGGTAAAGGTCTTGCCAACATTAGTCCGATCCTATCATGAGCAACAGTTGTCATGCTAACACTTTCTGATACCTGTCACAACCTGTAGGAGCGCTTTGGATGCTTGCAGTAGATTTTAGAGAAGCAAACAAAAAGCAGAAGCATGTTTTTTTTCTGATTTTTCTGAATAGTTGCAAAGAATACCTACAGTTAGATTCTTTTTTCAATAGCAGTTCATGTTTTATAATGAAGTCGAAGGAAGATCAGAGCTGGAAAAGGGTAACGTCAAGAAACTGTTTTCTACGGAGAATCTAAACGAATTATTCAGGCTTCACCAACAGGGTGACACCAGTATGCTAGGTACCATGCTAAACATGATACTTATGATAAGTGTTAATAAAGGCTGCTAAAGATGAGATTCTTAAATCATTTACACTGAAGAAATAAGGCAATTAATTTCCTAAGAAAATATTAAAAAAACTTAACTGTTTTCCTTTGATATTACTGAAGACAGTTGGTATTTATTTTTGAAATGATCTTGTAGAAAATAATTGATCATTATATGATAATGTTTTACATTTTTTTATGCAAAAAGTTATAATCTCACTTGAAAAGATGTAAAATAGATCAATTGTTTTTCTTTGACCAACATTATATCTCTGACCTACAGTTCAGCTGTTTTTAAAGGAATTACAGATATTTTATGATGCTGAGAAAAACAGTTCTGTAATTCTATTTGACAAAATATATATATATATATATATATATATATATATATATATATACATTGTTAAGAAACTTAGAGTTTTACTTGATCCTGAAAGGTGAAAATAGATTGGGGTTCTTTGTGGTTCTTAAAGAGTAATCTGAAGAGACTAAATGTGGAATCCAGAGGTTCTGTTTAGAAAATCCACAATTTAGATAAAAAAAAAAATACACCTTTCTTTATAGTAATCATGTTCTCCCTAAGCACTGAACTTGTTTGAAATTTTTTGTCATCCATTTTCTATATAGTGCCTTTTGTGAAGCTAAAGTTTAAATCACTTTTTTGTTGTTGAATTTAATTTGGTAGTTAGCCTACTCCTCAGTCTCAACCTGTTTATTTTCTGATGGCATCTGACTTACTAGCCAGTGATACTTACAGTATCACTGGCTTTCAAGCAGCAGCCACTAATATTTGAAGCACACTGGCTTTATTAAGGTTATATTGATACAAAAGTACTTTATTGATACTATAAAATGTTATATCACTATAGTTTTCAGTTTATAGCTCTAAATATTTTCAGCAAGCCCTTTAAGTTTTGATTTGTGTCATGGAGCAAATCAGAACAGCAATGTCCATCTGAGTGTGTGGCAGTTTGCATTTCCACACAGATCTGGAATATTATTTTAGAGCCTGTGTGCATTTTGCTAACATGTCGGCTGTGTTTCTTTATCTGACACTAGCAGACACTGAGCAGCACACACTCCTGAGCACATCACATCCACTCAGCTCCAGCAAAAAGAAGAGACCTATATCTGCATTCATGCCCTCACCCTGAGGACACGTGCACTCTACATGACTGGCTTTTGACACAGCCCGCCTACGCACACTTCACTCTAGCTTGCAGTCTAATCTATTTAAAAAGAAAACTCCTGTAATCCTTTGGGAGGGCCGTGGGCTGCCTTGTGATGGATGTAAAAGCACTTTAATAATTTTTCCCCTATATGTTTGAATGTATTGAAATGTGTGCTGTAACAATTATTGGGGAGCAATAAAAAAACCAACTTGCACTGCATAAAATAAACTGCTGATTCAAACGCCTGTCAGCTCATTTATAGAAGGACTGGCTTTGTAAACCTTAGAGAACATGACAAGATGAAGTTATTTTCCTCAGGTCATTGCAACCTGTAAGTAGGGCAGAAAATTGAGGGTCTGGAAGCATACAGGGGGTCATTTAAAAAAAACAACCTAGAGAGACATGCAAAGTTTGCTCACAGAGAGCCACATTCAATGTGTGGCATGTCTAAAACGATAAAACTGAACTGCCAACAGTATGTAGGATCTATATTTCTAAACCTAAAGCATCTAAGCTTGTGTTTAATATCAAGCAACATATTTTTCTGTCATCCTAAATACATACATTCCAAATTCACAGTTTGTTAAATATAAAGAGAAGCTTAGTCCAAATACCTATGATTCCTTCTGATTGATATCAGCCAATGCTAATTCAATTCCTTGGACGAGGCAATTTGTGTTTGGAAGAATTGTATTTAGTAGCACGTCTCATCACTGAACATAATGGTCTGTAAAGCAATTAGTACTAATATGGACGAAATTTCGATTTCAGAAGTGGGAGAAGTATACAACTATATACTAACATATAACTATATACTAAGTTATATAAATAACTTCAACGTTTTGATCTCACAATCACGGACCCCATTCAGTGGAACATTAGATGTTTGCAAAATGAGCATGTCAGGAGTGACAGCGATGACAACCAATCACACAAGAAAAAAACTGTGGCCAATCAGGAGCTTCTGGGCAATCTAAACTCAGGGAAGTGGGCTTCAGCTGGAGCTGCAGTTTTCTGCTTGGTGCTAGTCCTCCATGAATGTCTGTGTACTGTAGCTCATACTAGTAACTGTAAAATTGTTTTTATACAATAAACATGCAGGGGACCGAAACAGACATTTGAAAAAGTGAAGGGGATATGCCCCCCCAAAATTACTTCCAAGAGTACAAACCATCTAACACCATCACTAAGACATACACAGCAATTAATATTCTATAGCTGCATTTTAATGTCATTTCACTGATACAGAGCACAAATACAGAGCAAAGACATTCACTCTCTGCATTTAACCCATCCCCTTGGGGAGCAGTGGGCTGCCTTTGCGTGGCCTCATTGCCTCATTTACCCAGATTGCATTTTATAAATCATTTTCTCTTCAATTGAAGGCCAATAGAAAAGCTTTTTTTTAAGAGAACATGTTCTGTCAAATGCAGTTTTAAGAAAACGTAATTCCGAAAATTCAATCTGAAAAACGGACATTTGATGAAGTACAATTAGAAAAAAAGAAATATGACAAAAAGAAAAAAAAATAACAAAATGAAAAGGATTTGAATAGATAAAATCTGAAAAAGGCAAAGCTAATCTTAAAATATTTTTTGATTAAGGGTTTTTTCAAAGTTTCTTTTCTGTATTGCATTTTTATTTTAAACTTCAATTTACAAAAGGTGATCTTTGCTTGCAACAATAAAGGAACAAAATTCCCTCCATAATTTTCCACATGAAAGAGCTATAAATGAATGCTGATATAATATTTTTAAAGAATTTTCGAGAATTCAATGGCATGGGTTTAAATTCAGAAGAAGATATTTTGTGACCATATGTGGATTGTGATAAAAGTGCATTCATACTTAGAAGTTTTTAATATATTAGTGTTAACCCCTAGAACCCTACGGACCCACCGGTGAATCCAGCTGCTACGTGACCTCGTAATTTTAACAAACCCCCAGTATTGATGTAAAAAACACATTTGGCACAGTCTGGTGACATTTTTGGATAAATGTGCCAAAATGGCCTCTCCGCCTAAGAAATTTCTC